GTTCGCCTTCAAATATCATCTTTTTGCCTATCGACTTGGTGGCGACCGAACCCATGACCTGACACGCCAGGAACATTACATCACTTGCATCTAGTCGCCTGTCGCACCCCGTGGGTCGCATTGCCCAGTTCATATCCCGGCGAGTGTGCCAGCCTCTCTGCTTCTTGAGGAAGCCTATCGTCCTATCACCGTTTTCATATCCGCCGCCAACCCTAAGAGTAACTCACGCCCGCTTCATCCCCCTCCCCCCAATCTCTACCTAGACCAGACCAGACCAGACCAGAGCCCGGGGCCCCGTCTTGACAAGCCGGGTCCGTCCGTCTGTCTGTTTGTGTGTACCTTCCCCTGCGTCGGCCAAGCCCTGTTCGTATACATAGCTTCCGACTGCCACACGCGTGGACTGCCCATCATGTCCAACCCAAGTGCCGTCATCAGGACGGCTCCCATTGCCATCGCACCCAAGCCTCCCCGTCGCCAGAACTCTTATCGCCAAGACAGCTTTGCGAACCTTGAGCTTTTCCGCGGCAGCATGCCTGCAAGGGAAATCGCCGAGTCTGTTGGCTCTTACACAACTCGGTCTCTCAGCCCTTGCGAATCCTGCCAACAGTCCAAAGTCAAGTGCATCCTGAGCGACGACGAAGACAGCTGCATACCCTGCCAAGCTAGCGGCTCCGACTGCTCCTTGCTCAACAGCCCTCAGCCAAGGAAACGAAAGCTAGGCGGCGACTTCGACGACGACAGCGGTAAAAGAAGGTGAGTCGGCTCCCATTCTTCTGTCCATGCTATCTATTCGCCTTATTGTCTTTTCCTCCTTGTGGCACACACACACACACACACACACACACACACACACATACACACTGCGTGACCAGAACACCTATTCCTTCTTGCCAGAGCTCGATCACCTTGTCCTTTCTTTCCTTGGCGCCCGCTCGATTGGGCCGCCATGGATGTAGCTGCAGTCAGGGGGGTCACTTTTGATAACGAGCCTTAATCTCTGACATGTGATTGGTTCATTAGTTCACCCGCCAGGACCGATATCAGAAGGCGAAGGCAACACCAGCACAGCCTCTCCAGCACCACCGGAAGCAGCTCCTTTCTTGAAGACATGGCCAACGTCGGAGGTCCAACTCTGTTGAAGCGGACGCTGGGTCTCCAGAGTGACCGCTACAGCCAGTATATCGGCCCGACGACCGATTTCGAGCCCTCTCTTATCAACCTCTCACCTTTTAACCCGCAGGATGAGAGCCTTTTGGCCCGCGGCACGCTGCGGAAGGTCAGTGACGATGACACTTTCCTCCTGTTACCTGACTTCAACACGCCGGGCCACGAACACGTCCTCGAGGATATCGAGGAGATAGAGAACCTTGTGAGGCCACACGGCCGGAAACTCATAGACTTGTATTTCCGCATCGTCCACCCCGCCTTTCCTATCATTCAGAAGACCGTCTTCCTGGAAAAGTACGAACGTAGTTACCGCGAGTTCTCGCCTTGTCTACTGGCCGCCGTCTACCTATTCGCCATCAACTGGTGGGAGCACGATGAAGAGCTCGCACGGGTTCCTCGTCCAAACATTCCCAACTTGGAACGAATGATCCGCACAACTCTGGCCGACGCCATGTACCGGCCGAAATTGTCCACCATCCAGGCCGGCCTCCTCCTCTCACAGCGACCCGAGGGCGACCAGTGGGCCCCAACCGCCCAACTTGTCGCCATCGCTCAGGAACTTGGTCTTCATCTCGACTGCACGCATTGGAAGATACCGCCATGGGAGAAGGGGCTGCGGAAACGCCTCGCCTGGGCTCTGTACATGCAGGACAAATGGGGTTCCCTGGTCCATGGCCGGCCCTCACACATCTTCTCCTCCAATTGGGGGGTGATGGCGCTCACGCAGCACGATTTTCCCGATGTGGAATGGAACGAAAACGATGTGGAGGAGAAGCTGGAAATCGAGCGCGGCCGTACGCTCTTCGGCCAGATGGTTCAGCTGTCGCAAATCCTGGCCGAGATCCTCGATACCTTCTACTCGTTGCAAGCCATGCAAACTGTAACCAACGCTGGCGGGCAAGGCACGCACCTGATTCTGGGCATGGCTAAGCCGATCCAATTGAAGCTCAAGGAGTGGTATGCCAACCTGCCCACGGCAATCCGCATGGATAACACGTACACGACAAACCCGAGCCCTTCAAGCCGTTTGTCGAGCATAGGATACCTTCACCTCGCCTACTTTGCCACCGAAATCACGCTCCACCGTCGCATCATTCGCTCTCTCGAAGCCACCGGATCGGCTGTCGATCAGTACGTGCAACACATCTGCCGGAGTGCAGCAAAGGCGCGTCTCATCTCTGCCATGGACTTTGTCAACCGTTTGAACTCGTCCCATCTGCGTTCGTTTTGGTACTTCGCATCCAAGACTAACTTTGCCCTCATCGGCACTTTCGGGTCGCTTCTTTGGGCAACATCGCCAGGGAGGGAGGAAGCTGACTGGTATCGAAGGCGCTTGGCGGAATACCGCTGGACACTCTCGGTGAGCTCAAAGCCTGGTGAGGGCAAGGGCCTGACAGACTTCGCCATGACGATGCTCGACATTTCCACCGGTCTCCTCAAGAAATTGCCAGAGAAGCCATCGATGAGCCGCAGTGGTAGCGTAGTGGACATCGGGCCTGGCAGTATGAGTAGTAGCTATGCCGGCAACGGTTTACTCGCTTTGGGCCAGAGTGCACCGCCTGCAATGACTTTTGCAGGGTTCGGTGGGTTCCAAAGTGCCGATGTGAGCAATGCACAAAGCCCAATAAGCGACGACAGCAGCGACGATGAGATGTATGAGACCTTCGCCCCGACGGCGGGTATGGCGGGTTTGGGCGAATGAACAACACAACGGCTTCGTTCGGGATGGGAAGCCGACCAACTACAACAACACGGAGAGACAACACACGCTCACTCGAGTATCCATCCTTTTATGATTATCTTGATCGTTGTAAAAAAAAGAAAGAAAAAACCGGGCGGGGTGGTCTTCTCTCTTAGCAAAAAAAAAAAAAAGGGAGCGCATGATGATCTGCGGGATACCCACTGGGGTGGGCACTGGACGGCGGGCTCACTACGAGGTTGACAAAAGGGGCGTAACGGGTAGAACGTTGTCCACGGCTCATGACCCCAACCTGATGACGTTTGGACTTTATCCTTTTGTTTTGGGATTGACGACGCAAAGAAAGGGAACGAACCGTTATCACCAGGTGTCGGCGTATACCCTTATACCGTCCGCCGTTTTTAAGCGGAAAAGCAGAGATGTATCATGTTTTATCTTCTCCAGCATGTTGAGCGATCCATAAATCTCAGCATAGGTTGCAGGGCTTTCGGAAATGAATGATAAGCCTTGATGCCTTGTGGCTATATTTATGCTTACCTGCCGAAATGCTTGTGTGGCATGCTGCATTGTGAAGTGCGGTGGGACGATCAACCATACCTTCAGGTCGCCCGCCCTCAGTGTTTGAACGATAGGGCCTATAATGAAGGAAGCTCGCTGACATATAGGGCCTGCCATAGATTGCCGAGGCTTTTGGCAGTAGTCGGTCGCGTAACCTGTGCCTGCCTACCGGGACTCAAGTCTTCGGATATGCTGGCACTGAAGCCTGGCATACGATCCGGGGTTGCAACACTTCAGAGACACAGGTTGGCTGAGTTTGCGTGTGTTTATTGGTAAAGTGGGTTCCTGCCTTTTGGCAGCGCTGCAACCGTTTCAAAAAGTCGAGGGCGGTCCAAGGATGTCGTCTTCGGTGTATGTTCTGCTTTTATGTGCACGGTATACAGGGCGACGAAGGCAGGTCAGGGAGCCAAACTGGTCTTTGTCACATGAGACTAAGCCAAATGTCAGCTCGTTGAAGCCAGCCCGCCTTCTGCCAAGGAGCTGTGTATAACAGCGCAGATCTGGGCTGGTACGGGATCTCTCCGAAGTCTGCCAAGGAGCGCAGTCATGTGTGTGTTAGTGTTTCTGTTGCTGGGATATCCCACGATAGTCCCTGAGAGTCGCCGTCGTGGCTTGTCGTAGAGCACCTGGCTGTTGAGAAACTTCTGCCAGGTGCCCCTGTGACTTCTGAATTACGATGGCGAGATGTGATAGGTGTAAGCAGAGGTATTCGCTCAGAAGTGTTGCGATGGGCGCAAGCCGGTAAAACTCGTAATGGCCTGAAGGTGGCTTCTTCAAGGTCAAAGAACGACGCCGCCACCTCAATGGTGACAGCCAAGAAATGAGACAAATGAAAATGTTTGCAGTTTAGTGTTATCACAAGGCACTCGGTCCTTCGGAAAGGCTCCAAGGGCTAGAGAAACGACGTCTTAAGTATTCGAGCCCCCATCGAATCACGCAATCGATGGTGACATTTGCCCATCGGCTTCGAAATCAACGGGTAGCAACGCCATGATCGCGAGCCTGCGTGGATTGGATACGGAAAGCATCGGCCTTACGCAAGAGTCCCCAATAGCAAGAGGGTACGTCTCCTGGCCCATGGATGCCCTCGAATGAGACGCGGTATCAAGTTGCAGCCGTGTTTACCAGAGGCAGCTCGCAGCCATATGCTGCATTACGGCTTGAACGATAGCACACTGGGCGGCTAAGACGGCACGGTTGAGCCAACTATAAGCCCCATCGAACTTGACGGGCGGGGCATCATGCCGGACTTCGAATCAATACAGAAGAAATATGAAGCCAGGTCGAACCGGGATGAATAGGGTGAAGTGTGTGGCAATCAACTTCAAGTGAATGTACAGTGATTACATAACCTCACTGTCCCACGCTGAAGGTTGAGGCACGTGCTGTACATACCCCGCCATATCCTTAATTCCATCATCAACAACCACATAGTCCCGGAAGAAACCCACTTCCGACGAACATTGAATTCCGTCGCCGCCCGCGCCGCCGTCCACGACAATCCCCAACCCCGCTTCCCAACTTCAAACGCATTCTAAAGACCTCCGCCCCGCAAGCAGGCAAGCCACCGCCCAAGATGCAGGGCTTCAATATGGGACGCTATGTTCCGCCCGAAGTCGAGGGTACCATCTCGGGCAACAAGCTCCACGGCAAGCACGCCCTCGGCGCGCGCGCCTCCAAGCTCGCCTCGTCCGGCGCCCTTACCGTCCGCTTCGAAATGCCCTACGCCATATGGTGCTCCACCTGCCCCAAACCCACCATCATCGGACAGGGCGTGCGCTTCAACGCCGAGAAGAAACGCGTCGGCAGCTATCACTCGACACCAGTATGGCAGTTCCGCATGCGCCACGCCGACTGCGGCGGCTGGATCGAGATTCGGACGGACCCGCAGAACACGGCATACGTCGTCGTCTCAGGGGCAAAGAAGCGGGACACTGGGGACGAGAGTGGGAGCGTCAGGGCGCCGAGGGAGGGAGAGATGGTCATCATGACGGATGAGGAGCGCCAAAAGTTGCGCAGCAGCGCGTTCGCGAGCCTCGAGAAGACGATACAGGACCGCGAACAGCTGGCCGAGGCGACGGAGCGCATCGAAGAGCTCGAAGACATCTCGAAGAAGCGATGGGACGACCCCTACGCACGCAACAAGGCGCTGCGCAAATCGTTCCGCGTGGGACGGCATCAGCGTGAGAGGGATGCTGCTGTGGGTGAGGCTCTGAAAGACAGGATGAGCCTGGGCATCGACCTCGTCCCCGCGACGGAGGAGGATGCACGGAGGGCTAGCCTGGTGGACTTTGGGCCCGGGATCGGGCACGAAGGGGATGCGGGGCACAAGGCGCTTGCAAAGCCGCTTTTCCCTTCGACGGCGCTGGCGGCCATGAACGGGAAGCCGAAGGCAAACGGAAAGGCACTACCCAAGGGGACGCCCAAGGCAGAGGTGCTGGCGTCCAAGAGGAGGGAGACCATTGTGTCCGAGATTGTCGGAAACACGAGAATGGCGCGGGATCCGTTCCTCGTCGAGCCCAAGGCGGAGCGGACGCCAGTGAGAATTTTTGGGTTGAAACGCAAGCGCGGCGTGGAGGAGGAGGATGAGAAAGAAGAAGGAGAGAAGCAGAAGGTCCAGGATGATGCTCGGCCGCGGTTACCCCCTTCCAACCCCCTAGTGGGGTATGATTCTGAGTCGGACTAAAGGAGTTTCGGCTGTGTGGTTTGGCGTTTGGGAGTTTAGGATTAGATCAAGATACCCCGAGATCGTCTTTACATCAGTAAAGACGTTGAGGCTAACAACAACGGCACATCTACGACTTATGAAAGGTTTGTAACCCTATGCAAAGAGCTTTAGATACAAGCGGGTGCATGTCTCATGTATAACGATAAATGCCCTTTAGAAGGATACCAAAACAGGGTCACGTAAAAATCATAGAAATCAGTGTCTTCTGTTAGTGAGTGCAGTCATTACAACTATATAATGACCCTTGGTGCAACTGAACCAACTTCCCCGAATAGCTAGGGATCCAGTCTGGGGTGGGATATGTGTGCTAACACACGCCCCGTCTTCCCCGTCATCGTTGGCCGAGTCTCACTATCTCGAGGAGCAGTCCAGTCCTCATTCCTTCATATTTCATCTCGTGCAGAAAACTCCAAAAGTTGATTCCCATCAAATAAATGCCTTGCCTTATTCCTTGAACACAAAAGAAAAGAAAAGAAACTCCTAGCCGCCAACTTCTCTCCATAGGACAGGGAATGTGTGAGAATGCAAAGACCAGTCGAAACCCGAGGGATACAAATCCCCTGCGACGCCATTTCCATGAATGCTCTTCTAATCGAGGTTCTCTTCCAACTCATTCGCGTCTTCATACGTCATCTAATCGGCCCGCGGGCTCTTCGTCATCGTCCCCAAAACTGCCGACGGAGGACATGTCATCGTCGTCATCGCTCTCGGCACCGTCTTCGTCAGCAGCGTCTTTGCTCGCGTACTTTTGAACATATTCTGCATCCCTTTCATCAGCGAGGTCCCTTAATAATCCCGCCTGCTTGAAGGGGTAATTTCCGCACCCTTAACTTTGGCGTCGTAGCTCTTGGGTTCCCTGATCATTAAAGCAGCAGCCTCTCCATTGAGAGGATCCGTCGGGTTCGGGTATCGAAGTAGCTGAGGCAGGAAGACCTCAAAGATGTTGATCATGTCGAACATGGGCGACCAGGTCTGGTTGATGACGTCCAGGCAAACGGATCCCGATCTATCTCGGGTTGCCCAGTCAGTTCCGCGCTCTATCCCCAGCGATATAGTATACAAAAGGCTCCCGCATATTCGCTACTCACAGCTCGTCGATGTTGGGGTGGAAAATACGATTAACGAATCCGATGCTTGGAGACTTGTAGGGGTATTGGTCTGGAAGTTCGACGTGGACCTTCCAAACGCCGCCTTCGAACGGAGCTGCGCAGTGTCAATACAGTAAATGATTGTATGCGGTTATCTTGCACTAACTCTCCGTGGGCCCCTTGAATCTCACGTAGAACTCTTGCCTGTGTGGAGTCGTTAGGATGGGAGGACGTCGATGGGTGAACCTAGGCCTTACACTTGGGCGTGTTAGTCGCTACAGCGCTGCAGATCTAGAAGCAGTTTGGGAACGATGCCAAAGGGATGACATACTATTGTCGTTTACCAAAGTGACTTCATAGTCACTCATCAACCTGCACGGGTCAGTATAAGTAGCAGACAATGGTCCATCAGCGGTTCGCACATCCTATGTCAGGTTAGTTGGGTGTTAAAAGTGCGACGAGTCTTGGGCGTTTGTACTTCATAACCTAGGAAATAAGCAGCACTGTCAGTTTCCCGAAATGTTTCATAGTCAAATAACGTAGAAGGCGGCGATGGTCTTACATCAGTTTCGATTCTTCTGCGTGGGCTACTCATCTCGTCGGTTGCGCGCGGGGCGTTCGGGAAATGGTCAGATGTCGAGGGTTGTCAGTCCGTTATGGATGGTTTGTTGTGCGTATGTAGAGTCGCAGTATGCCAGGACTTGGTTGTGGAGTATCGCTCCAGCGCTGATCTCGAGAGAGGGTTATGAGTTGGTAATGGTGCTGGGGTCGAAGGGGAGTTGTTGTATGCAAAGAGGGGACGAGGAGAAGGAGGTCGGATCGGGTTCCTGACGCCAAGTCACGCGCAATGATGATGTGGGCGACACTGGACCATTGCTGATAAGTGCCAGCGATAAGGGGGACAGAGGAAAGGTGGACCCGAAGATTAAGCGGCTAGACTCGGATCTTTCCCTGCCTGCCGTTGTCTCCCCATTCTGGAAAAGAAGGAGGGGAAGGGAGGATTGACTAAGACCACAGCAAGACAAGACAAAGCGACCTTGCTTTGTCGCAGGAACCGCAGGAACAATGCCCAAGGCTGCAGAGAGAGGTTGGGGAAGTCGGGAGTTCTCAGAGCCAATAGGTAGGTACACTTGAGCACCTAGGTAGGTACCTAGGTACCGGCAGACTGCTATCCGTACTCACGTCCGGGAATTGGAGCTTGCATTCTATAGTGGTTGCAATGCACACAAACCCGCCCTGGGCTTGACCCAACTTACTCAGTCACACTCCTGAGCGCAAGATCATCAGCCCTCCCGACTCATGGAAGCCGCAAAGATGATACAATTAGTCTGTGCCACAACAACAGCCAGATCTGTCGATACTGTCCGCAGGGAACAACCGATCGTGCTACGACAAGACTGATGCTATTACTATATGTACCTAGCTAGGTAGCTAAAGGCAAGGCATCCGCTGTCACGGGCCAGCGATGCATTTCAGCTTTTCCTTATACAAAAAAGTACCCGGTAGGGAAGATTGCCGTGTTGACAAGCGGTGTTGCCTCCGGATTTATTGGTCCGTCGGGTTCTGCGGCAGAATGCCAAATAAGCCCATTCTCGCTGGAAAAAGTCTAGTCACACGGACGCCATGGCTGAGTCTGAAGAACGATCTGGATCAAAGGGGAACCTTGGGCTCCTCCAGCGTCGTCCCTGCGGAAGACCGAGATAATTACCTAGCCACCCGCCGGGCCCGAGGCAAAATTGCCTCGGTCTTGGTTTCAACACCACCAGCTCTCAGTGCAGACGTACAGTAGGTACGTACCTCTGTAGGCTAGGTAGGTAGGTACCTAGGTACCCAGCTACCTAGGTAGGTCGTGGTAGGTAACCAGGAGGCGACGCCGTCCTAGCGTCTCTAGGGCGGTGGGTGCACCGTGGTGTAGGTAGCGTACAGCACCGAATGGCTCACTAATTCTGGCGGGAAAAGACGTGGAGCGGACCTCAGCCAATAACGGAGGTTTATTGCGTCGGACCGGACCCAGTTTACTGGGACTTGCACCTGGGAACAGTGTACGCAGCGCATTTGTCTCCACTTTTCCTCCCTTCCAACGAAGCGGCGGGAACGAAACACCACGGGTAGTTTTTGGAGATACTCAATTCTACGCAGCAAAAACCATCATGACCTTGACAATAAAACAAGCGCTTTGCCCTAAAGTCAATATTTTCCAAAAAATTTCCTTCCGCATAGAATTTTTTCTTACCGCTCCATTATTGCAATCAAATTTGCCTCTGAAGATTGCCCCCCTTAATCCCCTTCCGCACGCGTGCATTGCATTCACACGCTTAATTCCCGTCCTGTACAGAAAGGTACTTGGTCGCACACATGTCTCTCCATACTGTCCGAAGTACCTGGGCAAGGTCGTGTGTCTCCATGATTAAAGGCACGCGACCCTCAACACCAACGCCCCTGATGCGGTCCGTCTATCCCGCCCTCATGCGACAACCCCAGTTGCGACACAGCTCCCATTCCCCCATGGGTACGCCTTCTGCGAACCAGAGAAAGAAAGTCACCATTGGTTCCCTGCGCAATCTGTACAAGAAGCGCGAGCCAATTACCGTCATCACGGCTCACGATTTCCCAAGTGCCCACGTTGCTGACCATGCCGGTATGGATATTATTCTGGTAGGCGACAGCTTGGCCATGGTTGCACTCGGCATGGAAGACACGAGCGAGGTTGTGGTTGAGGAAATGCTGCTTCATTGTCGTTCTGTTGCAAGGGCTACCAAGTCCGCCTTCACTGTGAGTCTACCACCCTGCATTGCAACCCCCGGACCCCTCCAACTGACCGAGAACCAGGTCGGCGACTTGCCAATGGGCAGCTACGAGATTGCACCGGAACAGGCCCTGGAGACGGCCATCCGCTTTGTCAAAGAGGGCCGGGTGCAAGGTGTCAAGCTCGAAGGGGGCAAGGAGATGGCGCCCACAATCCGGAAAATCACATCTGCGGGCATTCCTGTACTCGGCCATGTGGGTTTGACGCCGCAACGGCAGAACTCATTGGGCGGCTTCAGAGTCCAGGGCAAAACATCGGACGGCGCTCTCAGACTGCTCGAGGATGCGCTGGCTGTGCAAGAGGCTGGCGCATTCGCCATGGTCGTTGAAGCCGTCCCGGCTGAGGTGGCTGCGCTCGTCACCGAGAAGCTGTCGGTCCCCACTATCGGCATCGGTGCAGGCAACGGCTGCTCGGGCCAGGTCTTGGTGCAAGTCGACATGACCGGAAACTTCCCTCCGGGACGCTTCCTGCCCAAGTTTGTCAAGAGGTACGGCGATGTCTGGAGCGAGAGCCTCAAGGCCATCGAGGCCTACCGCGATGAGGTGAAGAGCCGGCAGTATCCTGGGCCGGAACATACATATCCTATTTCCAAGCAGGAACTTGAGGCGTTTTCCAAGACTCTGGAGAGGTTGTGAGAAGCTGCTGGCTGTCAGCTGCTGGAGCGTTGCATAGCATTAGATTCGGGCTGCATTACTGGTGTTGAGGCAGTTGGGGGCGGGTACATTTTTTTTCTTTTGCCTCGTTTAGCAGGTAACTCGGTGTTGGATACCATTTAATAGCGTAGTTGCCAAATCTCAGCCAAAGGCCGGATTCATGGCGTAAGAAATAACAAGCTGGCCGCTTGAGTCTTTGAAACACTGTTACCACATGTCAGCAAGCGTGGCAGTGATGTGCGAGCCTTCCGTTACTCACATTATGCAGGTTGCCAACGATCTCGTCGAGAGAGGGTGCGAAAGAGTCATTAACGTAGCAAAAGACGCTGTCTGTCTCTTGGAGCTTGAGCCTTTTGCGCAGATACCAGATGACGGTATGAAATGTCTGGGTGGAGGAGATCTTGGCCACGCCCCGGGTGAGGGAAGGAGCGTTCCCGACAGCCTTGAACTTGACGACGACCTTCTCCGACGAGTACTCGCCGGCACTAGCCAGGGCGGAGGCCACGTCGCGTGGTTGAGCCGTCAGGATAGCTGAGGCGGACATGGTGAGAGGTATCTCGGGAGAGGCTGGACGGTCCGGGATGGTTGCTGGAGCAGGCGAGGCCGAGCCTGACCTCGGGATGCCCGGTGAGGAAGGGGTTGTCGCCATTTTGGGCGCTTGGGTGTGATACTTGGGATTCTATCAATGTGGGAATTACTGAGCCAGCAAGCGGTCTCTAGATTGTGCCTGTTGTATGTTGGTAGATTGCCTAGGTAGGTACCATGAGGTGACCGAAACCCTGTGGTCGCGCTGAGAGTGTGTGGGGTAAGGAAGGTAGGTAGGTGTTGCAGGCAGCCAGACGTGATTGTGGGACATCGTCCGCTTTGGCAGTGCCTCACCGCAACCCGGTTTCCTACTGCCCCGCCAAGTGCACAATCTCCAGGCGGCATTACCCTCTGAAAAGGTACTAGTGGTAGGTACTGGAGAACAAGTAGTTTAAACGAACTTGTACTACGTACCGAGGTATGCAAACATGTCTTGCTTGAGCTTGTTAAGCAATGCAATGGCAATCCCTACTAAAGGTTGGCCTTCAACTCCGCTCAGCGCCTTTTTGTCCACGAATATGACCAAATGCCGAGACACCTGGTAGGTAGGACTGACCGTGGGCGCAGCCTTCGGTGGCCGTTCGGCCCGTAGACGGTGGCGTGCATGGGGAGGATCTTACGACAAGACACTCCAACGCAAAAGGCTATATGGATGGATGAATGGATGGGTGGATGGATGTATAGACGGGATGCGGTCACCCTTTATTGGCCTTACGGTATTACGTGGCGTCGAATCGGCTTCTTCCCCTCTCACCGCACATTCCGTGTAGTATCTATACGGACCGCAGAGCACTTTCCAACTGCCATCGACTTGGGTCGAGAGGTAGGCGAGGCCTTGAAAGAAAACGAAGCCAGACCACTCCTGTTGTTCTCAGCCATGCGGACGAGGACCATGTTAACAGGAAAGTAGCGACTTGATCGAGCTTACAGTTAACTAGCCGACGTTTTGGCAGCAGTCGTAAGAGAATCCTGCACTGAGACAGACTGTTGAAGACAGAGTTCGAGTTCACTCGCCTTTCCTTCTTTCTACCCCACGCAGCCACTAAACATTCTGCATACCTAGGTACATATGTTGGTGATTCACCTCTAGCTGCCGTCATCTGTCTAGGTATGCAACACTACACCTTTGCCCTGCCACCGTATCCCCTTTTATACGGCTCTGGCCCGTGCAAGTATCTGGATATGTTACATTAAACTTCACCCGTCCCCTTCGTCGCTAGTTTAGGCCTGACACGTTACTGGATCTTCACAACAATAGCAGAAATGGCCATACCACCGGTTCTCGCATTGCCGCACGCTTCGTCTCTGAGGAATGATCTGAATAAGCTGCGAACTTTGCAGTTTTCCAATGCAGAAGTCTCGTTGGACGGCAACAATCTCGACGTTGCTACTGTCGTCGCTGTTGCTCGACATGGACTTACGCCTCACGTCAAGGACGACCCGGAGATCAAGAGGAAGGTTCTTCAGAGTACTCAAGTCCTCGACCGCTATGTTGAGAACGGTTGGGTGGTGTACGGCGTCAATACGGGCTTTGGCGGCAGTGCAGACTCACGAACGGAGCAACTCAAGAGGCTCCAAATCTCTTTGCTTCAACACACGCAAAGCGCCATCATCGCCTCTACAGACTTGACACAGGGCCAGGTCGACCAAGATGGACAGTCGCACGTCATTCCCTCGGCTTGGGTCAAAGCTGCCATGGTCGTCAGAGCCAACCAAAACCTTCGGGGCCACAGTGCCGTCAGGATTGAAGTCATCCAACTTTTACTCACTCTCCTCCGCCACGACATCGCACCGATGGTGCCGCTACGAGGAACCATATCGGCTTCAGGAGACTTGATGCCGCTGTCTTACATTGCGGGGATTTTGATTGGGGACCCCGGCGTTTTGGTCGCCGTCGGGTCAGGCTGCAACAGGAAAGTCATGTCGGCGTGCGAGGCCTTGAAGAGATGCGATATCCAGCCTGTCGAACTGCAGCCGAAGGAGGGTCTCGGCCTGATCAACGGAACTGCTCCTTCTGCCGCTTTGGCTAGCTTGGTTATCCACGACGCGAATCAACTCGCGGTGCTCGCTCAGGCCTTAACGGCATTTACTGCCGAGTGTCTCATTGGAAATGTTGAGTGGGCAAACGAGTTCATACACAAGATTCGGCCCCATGTTGGGCAAGTAGAGGCAGCACGCAATATCCGAAGCTTCCTCAAGTCGTCCGACTTCGTGCTTGGCCTCGAGACCAAGAGGAGAACGGGACATGGTCTATGGCAGGATAGATATTCCACAAGAACGGCACCGCAGTGGATCGGGCCCTATCTCGAGGATCTCATGCTTGCACAACATCAAATCGAGGTAGAGCTCAACTCGACATCCGATAATCCAGTGATCGACGTCGGCACAGGTGGTGACAGTACTGCTGGAGATATTTACTCCGGAGGCAACTTCCAGGCAACAGCTATTACTTCAGCCATGGAAAAAACGAGAACGGCTCTCCAGATGATTGGTCGTATGCTCTTTTCTCAGTGCTCCGAGTTGATCAATCCTGCGACGAACAACGGACTCGACTCCAACCTGGTCTTCGGAGACCCTGGCGAGTCCTACACCATGAAGGGTATCGACGTCAACATGAGTGCTTACATGGCAGAATTGGCCGCCCTTGCCCATCCTGTCTCCTCCCACGTACAATCGGCTGAGATGCACAATCAAGGCATCAACTCCCTCGCTTTCCTCTCCGGCCGAAGAACCATGGAAGCCGTCGACGTTCTTTCGCACATGTGTGCTGCTCACCTGCTTGTTTGTTGCCAGGCGGCCGACTTGAGGGACTACTACGAAAGATTTTTAAGCTCGATTTCTGTCATCAAAATCTTCAACGAAACCGATATGGGACTTGACAGTGCCCAGTTGGAAAAGTTGACGATTGGCCTAGACGAATCGATCCGAGCCTGGTGGAACGAGGCAAACAAGCTTGGCCATGCACAGCGGTGCTCCATCGTTGCTTCCAAAGTTACAACTCACGTCATGGACTTCGTCATGAAAGAAGAGATCGGAGGTGTGTCCTTGAAAGCTGTTATGGGTGTTCAAGACGAGTTTTGCCATAGCATGGAGGTGTGGTTCAAGGACATCACCAACAACCCCAAGATCATCCACTCAAACTCGACAGCCACTCACGTTGCGTACCTCGAGGGGCTGGGACAAGGCTCTTCACTACTTTTCGATCTTGTCCGAGGTAAGCTGGGCATTACGTTCCACCAGGGGCTTAGGCAAGAGCAGATGAGTACCATTGGTAACAGCGTGTCCCGTATTTATGAAGCGATCCGAGAGGGCGTTGTCGTTCCGGCACTGATGCCGTGTCTCGAGGGCGGTGAAGACAAGTCTTTAGAAACGGGAACGGGAACTCCAGCAAGCAGTGACGCAAGTGTCGGCTCGGCCGGTGTTCCAGGAAGAATGTAGGGTGCCGCGAAGACGAGGTAAACGTGGTGTGCGACCACTCAGTTTAGAACGGGTTTGTTTGCCTACAGAAGCGCTCAACCCACCTTAGAAGTATCCCTAATTAATTTCACTCGATATCAGTTCCTACCGCCACAAACTTTCTATGCTCATTCGTGAAGGGCAACCAAACAGATACTGTGTGTGGTATGTACATAAATACGATTGTAAAATACTTGCAGGCAATGTGGTGAAAATGCACCTGAGCTCACTCACTCACCAAGGAAATACGCCTCCACAACCGCAATGAGAATCGAAAGAAATAGAAAAAAATAAATGCACCATCTTGAAGGGAAACTTGCCCTCGAAGTGCCATCCATACAAAAGTAAACGGAAAAGAAACGCCCTCCCGAGATGAGACATTAAAAGCATTAGTTTGCCCATCTGGCAAAAGAGAATGTCCCTAGCAAGGCTCGAACTTGCGACCTTTGGATATCCCGAACTCAAGGTAGGGTCATATAGAACAATATGAGACCAACGCTCTACCGACTGAGCCATAGAGACTGTGAACGGAGTCATAGAAACCGACGTTGGAGAAGTGAATGCATAGTGGACACCAAGAAGAGTAGTGGAATGACTCATGCTACTATGCGTTAGAGTGGGATCCACAACACACTCGTAGTCTGGTGTGTGGGCCCGAGGCACTGTAGCAGACGAGTAGCAGGCTACTGCCTAGAGAATCGCCAGAGAATTCTTCTCTAGGAATTAGCCTCTGTTTAATCAAAGAAAAAAGACCCCTCCTAATGAAATACTAAAACCCTGCCCCGGATGTGGACCACACGCTTCCGGCGCGGGCGCGGGCGGGCGCCGAGGGTGCCTGCCTACACGCGCGACGGCCGCGGAACGCACCTTGTACACTACACTATCTACGCGGGCACGGGCGCGGGCGCGGGTGTGAGCGTCCGGCCCCTGGCTTCTTCATCATGATGACGGCCTTTGCCCACTCCGCGTCGAAACCCGCCCGCTTGCATCTCGTCCTCTCCCCTCCCTGTGCTAACCGGTTGATTCAACTGCGCATGCAGAATGATAAACAGCATGCCTCGGGGCCGCTGGGTAATCTTTCAATGGCTTGTTCCGTTCCCGGGCGGCTCTTACATCGTTGTGACGGTCAACGGACACGGGGAGCTACCTGCCTGGACTTTAAGCTCCGGCCGCCATCTAGACGCTGGTTCATGAGATGACGTTCCCAGCCTCTCCCGACTAAATTAGCCAGCAAACCGATTTCCCACAACCGGATGTCATGGCTGTCAATGCACCCCCCCAACTTCGGAGATTTCGTATACTTTGGCTACTACCCCGGGAGGATTTGACACATATGGCTTCTATCCGCACCGGCGGCCCTCATGACATCATTGACGTCGCCCTCCCGTCCTGGCGCTTTCACAGTGAACTTGCATCAGCATGAGAATTGGAAAGATGAAAATGCTTGAATTTGCCTCAACGCGCTTCTGAAGGAAACGATGCCTTGAGCTGCCCCTAAGTACACCCGCAGCGGCATGCTTTTCCAAACCATGCAGTTTCTTCGTGTTCAACGTACAGTATACACAAGCATAGACTGTTCAATGATATATCTACACCATACTTTCATTATGACGCGCCGTCTTGGTCTCTTCCCTCATGCGACCGCATGCCGCTGCCTCTAATCATGTACGGCCTTTGCCGTCCGCCTTGCCCGCGCCAAATAAGAAAAACTGAGCCGTCGTGGTATAAAATGCTCCATGCCGAACGCCATTGTGCATGCAATGCTTTCAGTGCGAGCCGCCAATTAGAGGAAGACGAAGAGAAGAGAAAATAAACATGACCGGATACCAAACATGGTTTCATGCTGGTCATTACTCTGGTATCATTGGTTCCACTAGGTGTGGAACAAAACCGTAGCTTTTGGTCTTGTGCGCCGTGCTTTTGAAGGTGATGGCGTCAGCAAGGGGGGTAGAAGGCTATTCGGGAACGGGGCAAAATCGGTATCAAAATATCGGGCAATGTAGATGAAGTGATCCGTGGGCTAAGCATGCCTACAAGGACTCGTCCGCGTACCCGTCATTGTGGGAGTGTTTGGAATATCTGGGTGCTCTGCCCAGCTGGCTGAGAAGCTCATCCAGCTCGGCCCAATTGTCGTTATTTTCGGCAAACTTGCGATGTTTGCGAGTGAGAATGTGCTTTCAAGATATTAGCTTGGCGTGGCATAAGTAATGTTCAGGTCCGACCTACCTCATCGAAGTCCTTGAACTTATCCTGGCAATTCTCACAATATCCCGGCTTCAGATCACGCCTGCTCTTGGGAGCCGGTGCTGTCGTCTTGGAACTGGCTCTGGAGAGCTTAGAACTCTGCTTGTCGGGATCCTCCTCAATGAGCTCCATTCGCCTGCTAGTAGTCCTAGAGACACTAGTGGACCTGGTAGAGGTCGCCTCCAACGACATCTCGGTCAGCCGTCGAGAGCTGGCATCTGGAGGTGTGGGGGCTCCTCTTTGCAACACCTTGCGTTGCAGGCCATGCACTTCCTTGCTAGTACCAGCCTTTGCGCCGTTGATACCAGACGTAGACGAAATCATCTGCGAGCGGATGGCCGATGTGATGTTGGAAGGCTGCACTCCAGAAGCCACAGGCTCGCCAGCAAAGAAGCGGCCAGTACCAGTGCGGCCGGTGAAAGCGTTTTGCGTCCGTCCGAAATCGATCGGATTGGAAACCACAGCCTTGGTAGGGTTGAACACGTCCATGGGCTTCGCCGCAGCCCCCGCCCTGTATTGCTCATCTTGCATTTCAGAGAGCGTACGCTTACCAATGACAGCCTTGGGAGCAGAGACCTCCGGGGGATGAAGGGATTGGCGCTCCTCAGCCGCCGCCTTCGTCGCAGTACGCTCCTTCTGCTCCTTCCTCTCCTTTTGCTGCGTCGATGGCTTTCGGCTAGGGCGTTCGGCTGGCTCCGGCTCTTCGACAAATGGACAGCGTCCGTCCGTAACGGTCCTGAACTGGGGCCACTCGCCATCGTACTTGTTATTGACCTTGGGATATTCTCGCACCATGATTGGCTTCTGTTTCTCATCAATGTCGTAGACATAAATGTACGGGCCCTTAAAGTTGATCATTTCCCTGCTGGTCACAGCATCAGAAGGGCCGTTCAGTCGTTCGTGCTGCAACAACTGCAATAGGCCAGGTTCCTCCGTCGTCTTCTTGGTCCCCAGGTTCCTTGCAGGCTCACCCTTGGCGCCGTAGGCAGCGACAACATGCGGATCCGGCTCCAGCAGAAACTGAAGCATTCTCTGGAACTTCTCGACGGACCAAATCTTCTTGCCCATATCACGGGCTTTGTGGAGAACATCGTTACTCTGGGTCGATCGCGTTCGCCTGGTTCTGTCGTCCTGCGGCTGGGTGTGGGTATGGGCTCGTCTCGACGTGGTCTCCAGCAGGAGACGTCTCCGTGCATCGGTCGAGCGGTCGAGAAGAGACGGGTTGATGGTCTGGGGTTGCTCTTCGGGCCCAGTGTCGTGTGTAGTCGCTTGCATGTCCTCTTGCGCTGGAATTGGGCGGGCGGTCACGACGTGGGTGATGCTGCTCGAGAAGAATCGTTCGTCCCTCTATAGAAGTACGGTGTCAGCCAAAGATGTCCACGATGTTGAGGTCTACATGCAAGACATACGGCTCCGAGAGACTGTGCATGCCTGGAAAGCTTCGCTCTCTGGTCTTCGGGAATACTATCGAAGTAGAAGACCATTTTTGGGAACCTTCCCCGGTACTCGGCCTGCCACTGGCGAATTCGCTCAACGCTGGCGTCATCGTGATGTGTCGATCGTTCCTTTGTGACGGGCCGGCCCACACGTTGGGGTAGCTGAGAGGCCTTGGTGATCTTAGACGGAGACCGTAGTTGACGCGACCCGGCATTTTCGACAGCCTGCTTTTTGTAGGGCGGCGGCTGGGCGTAGAGCTCTTCTCGCTGTATATTAGCGTGAGATCGCTTCTGCTTGGCCTGAACCATAGCAGAAGCAGCTCTCAAGGGCGAATTGGCCACATTGGGGTTGCTAGACAAAGGTGTTCGTCTAGCGGACATGGCCGGGGGAGGAACGAGGTTCGGTGATAGGGATATGGCTGCCATAAAAATGCCCAATCAATATGGTCGATGAGAAGAAATGATAGAGCTCGTTTGATTTGTCGAGGTGGAATCGTGATTTCACAAGATAGACAGACAAACAAGCAAGCGGAGAGAGAGGGATGGAGAGAGAGGGATGGAGAGAGAGGGATGGAGAGAGAGAGAGTGTGTGTGTGTGTGGTGGTGGCACTGGTGGTGGTGTCGAGAGGGGTTGCTCTGTGGAAGACGGGCACGCGACGTGGTAAGCTCGCACACGTCGCTCACGCGTACCAACAGAGACCGTGTCAAGTCCTCACAAAGACATTGAAGAGCGCTGCGAGAGCTGAGAGATGTTACGGAACCACCGGAGGGAGGAAGTAGTGAGGGACGAAGAGGAGGATGTCGTCAGGAGTTGGTACGAGCAGCACCACGAGGTGTGTGGTTTGGTGTGGGCAGGTTTGGAAAGAGCTTTATTAACGAGGAGAGTGGTTGATCGATGGATGTTGTGTGGTGCGTGGGAGAAGGTCCCCCCCGTCGATGGAGCCGAATGACCCAAGTCGCGCTTGACGGGTTTGGGAGGGGAACAACAGCGCTAATCCCAGTTGGACACGACCGAAAACACGCACGGGCCAGCCGCCTCTCCAGCAACCGGGCAAATTTTGCCTGGCCCAGCGCGTCTCACAGTGACCTGCGGCAGCCGTGGTACAGTGAAGGGTCACTGTAGATGGAGACCAACAACAACCCCAACCGAGCTGTTAGCCCGTAATAGGCGACAGCAGCCTGGAAATTAGATGGAGCCCGCGTGCGAAAACATTGAGAGAAAATCCTGCTCCTTTCCAGGGACCCTGCTGGTTCCATTTTTCCGGTGTGTTTACGCAATGGTTCGCTTCTAACGTAGTACAGATATCGTACTCTAATATGCATCCGTACAGTATTACCTTCAATGTTATTTGCCTTATCCGGTATGATTTGCTGGCTGGGTATCTGGGTCGGGGTCGAAGACATGAAAAGCACCATTTCACACAATATCAAATCCTTCCATAACCAACATCCATTCCATGGCACACAGAAGTACGTGCCTCCCTCGGCCCCTTGACTTGATGATATATACATGGTTACAATCGCTGCACTGAGTTACTTACTCTACTTACCCAAGTTGGTGGGTATCTAATGTACTCACTGTACGGAGTACCTACCTACTATACATGGGTTGGTAGGGTGTGGGGTGCAACAAACCATGCGTGCTGCACGGATAGGAGAGCATGCAACAACACTTGCAGATGCAGAACCATAACTCTTCGTTAGATACATAAAACAACAATGATCCACATCGTCCTCGCTCACAAATCTCATGCAACCAGCTCGACTCGTCATTGTGGCACAATAACTCGGGGGTAAAGTGACTACTAAGCCGTCTTGGTCTTCACCCTTCTCAGTACTCACTCACTCCTTCCTCCTCAGTCTAACGGCAAGTTCGCACACGCTTGGCCCAGTTAACGAGTCAGCCGCCTCGCAATTCCCAGTGCGCTCGTCGCACCTTTGCTGCAGGATACAGAGGAGATGACCTCATCCAAGTTGTAGTCCTCCACTTTCTCCGGCACCCTTCCTACCTTTCTGCCCTTAGTCACCCGTCATCATATATCCGGCCATGAGCGCTTCACGGCCGGTATGCCGCGCCCTTCGAGCTGCACAGAGAATACGCCCCTTGTCGGCGGCAGCGCCAAGGCGCCCGTCTTTCTTCACCAACCTTCACCTCCGACGCTATTCAGCAGTCTCTGCCGCCGAGTTGCAGTTCGGGCAGCCGGTGCATGAGACTCACCCTCACATTCTTGAGGCCGGCGAGAGTCAGTAGCCATCCAGTCCATGTTGTAAATAAGCCCCGGACATGAACTTTTCGATTGCCTCGTGAGCCGTGAGACAAGGAAGATGAAACGAAGATGAAAACCCCCGAGGAGCAGCATATGCCCAACAAGAGGCTACGTCAAGCGAACTCTACTGACACAGTCACTTAGTCACACCCGGTGTCACGGCTCAGGAATACTGGGAACGTCGCGCCCGGCTTGCCGAGAAGCTTCCGGACAATGGCGTCGCCGTCCTCGTCGCCGCCGACCTCAAATACCGATCCGGCGCTGTCTTCTTTCCCTACCGCCAAGAATCCAACTTCCTCTACCTCACTGGCTGGAATGAGAGTGACTCAGTTGCCGTCATTCAGAAAACCGGCAAAAACTTTGGCGACTTCATCTTTCACCTCTTCACGAAGCCAAAGGACCCCGTCGCCGAGCAGTGGATGGGGCCCCGCAACGGTGTCCAGGCCGCTGTCGACATATTCAACGCCGACAAGGCCGCCGACATCGCCAAGATCGACCGTCACCTGCCTGAGATCCTCAAGGGTGCCAGTCGCGTCTATGCCGACATCGAGAAACCGCGACAGGGCGAGCAGGAAGGCAAGCTCTGGCAGTTGATGAAGGCCGACAAGTCCTGGTTTCCCTCGGCTAAGCTGCCTCTGTACCCCCTCGTCAACTCTCTGAGAGCCATCAAGTCCCCGGCTGAGGTCACCAACATGCGCCGCGCCGGCCAGATCTCGGGCCGCGTCATCACCGACGCCATGCGGAGGTCATGGACCCGCGAGAAGGACCTGCATGCTTTCCTCGACTACCGCTTCACTGCCGACGGCTGCGATGGCCCGGCCTACGTCCCCGTTGTTGCTGGCGGCCAGAACGGTCTCTGCATTCACTACGTTGTAAATAACAACGTCCTCCGCGACGGCGAGATGGTCCTCGTCGACGCCGGCGGCGAGTACGGTACCTACATCACCGATATTTCCCGTACCTGGCCCGTGAACGGCAAGTTCACGCCGGAACAGAGAGACCTCTATGAAGCTGTGCTCACGGTCCAGCGCTCTAGCATCTCGCTGTGCCGGGAGAACGCCAACCTCTCTCTAGACGACATCCATGACCACACGTCGGCAGGACTGCTCGAGCAGCTCAAGTGCCTGGGCTTCGACATAACGACACGAGATATAGACGTCTTGTTTCCCCACCACGTCGGTCACTATATCGGCTTGGATGTCCACGATGTGCCGGGCTACGGCAGAAAGACTCCTTTAAAGAAGGGTCACTGCGTGACCATTGAGCCAGGAATCTATGTCCCAGACACGGACCGGTGGCCGGAACACTTCCGGGGCCTCGGCGTGCGGATCGAGGACAGCATCTGCGTGGATGAGGACTCGCCGTACATCCTTACGACAGAAGCTGTCAAGGAGATCGCCGATATTGAGGCTCTGAGAGACTGAAAAGGGCAATGTACAACACTTGAAACCTGTAAAACAATGTATTCATTGCTGTGGCGTTAATGTGCAATGCCACATTCAGTCCTGACCATCCGTCAATTCTACAAGAGAATATAAGAATTTCCAGATTGACAGAATGCCGAGGGGTATTCCTGTAAAGAAATCACCGTCAGTAAGACATAGCCAAGCTGTTTGCAAAGTTGTTCTCACTCGGCTGAGGTTCTCAGTCGATATCGCCATCCAAAGACACAAGGAACCAGGGACCCTGAACTCCTTGAAGCTCGGACACTGAAAGTGGAAGTTAGTCAAGCACGTTCCTAGTCTGGAACGGGTCGGCCCGTTCATGTCACAGGTTGACCTTGCTTGTCTTCTGGTGTTCATTTGGAAACTTGGCTTCTATGCGGAATATAGCCGGCGACCGAATGTCAGGTATAAAGTAATGGATCAAATGGTGGTGGATACGAAAGACGGCTGCCTCTACCAGTTTTCTCGGAGGCATTTCAGGTATCAATCAGTACGGTATCGCAGATGCCTCATCGATGTTATTACGGGTAAAATTCGGCGGGCAGGAAACAAGTGAACTACGGCAACTTCCCGGGTGTTGTTGCGAACCAATACTACGGGATTAAAATGCAAGAGTGCATCGCAGGTCTGAGGGTCTGTGATTATGTATGTACGCATGCCTGCTCATTCCTCATGAATGGCTGCAATGGTAGATTTTGGGGCAGATCGCAGCCCATGACAACGTAATATGTACATTCGCAATCGTAATGCGTAAATGTGGTAAGAGGAGAGATATCAACAAAAGCCTCTTGGATCAAAGAGGGTTCTGCTGTAGTTCGGCATCGGGAAGGGTTGCCGCGCCTGCGCGCTCAAGAGCTGCTCAAAGGCTTGTAGGCGCCTCGCGAGTTCCTGGTGCTCGCGCATAATGGCCTTATTCCTTCTTTCCAGGTAATGAATATATTCTGTGGCTTTTGTGAGGACGGTGCCCTGTGACGTTCTGTAAGTAAACACCCGACGAATGAGTTGGAGCGGTTGCAAGTCCTCACCTTGCTGACTTTAGGGCCACGCGATTGACCATCTGCCTCGGCATCTTCGCCCCCTTCCTCAGGTATTGACCTGAGTGACGGGACCGCGTCGCGCAACTCTGAAATTCTGTCTTTCAGATTGGTACGATATTTCCTCTCAATGTCATTATGTGCTGTTCGGTCGCCCGTCTTCAACTTGTCTCTAGACTTTTCAGATGTGCCAGTAGCATTGGTGTTGGTTCGCGATACCTGCGGCCGTTGCGGCTGAGCCTCCTCCTTTACAGTGTCATTTTCTTTCTGTTTGCCTTTTTCAAGAGCCGACTGTTTGGGGCCTTTGGTGGTGTCGTTCAGACTCCCTGTAGCCATGTTCGCGTCGAAGTTTTCCAGGCTCGCAAACTCGGGTCCCAGATCAGCCCCAAGGCCAAAGCCCAGACTAGAACCTAGACCGGTTGCTGATGATCGGCCACCAGTATTGAGGGCTATTGCCAGAAGCCGTCGCTGTTCAGGGTCAAGCATGGGCATGCCCATGCTACCCAAGCCGCCCATTCCGAAAAGAGGGTTCATCCTGAGCCCGGGTGCTGGCTTTTCCCAACTGAGGGGCGTTGAGTATAGGCCCTCCCTGGGAGGTACCTCCTGGGGTGGTTGAGAATCAATTTTGCCAAGTTGCTCGCCGAGATTCATCGACTCGAAGAAATCGTCATCATCAGACAGGGCGTTATCGAGGGCGGTGTCATCCATAAAGTCTTCTGGCTTAAATACAGGGTTGGTGTATAATCCCGCACCCAGGCCAGGTGTCGTGGACATTGGGTTCAGACGGTTTGCGGCTGGTCTAGTGACTGTCAGTCCGTTGACCCTACCGTGGTAAGTTTGAGTAGGTACGGTAGTAAAGATTACCTTGGTCGGTAGTTAGGAGTGGGATTGCTACGCCTCGAAAAGTCAATCTCAAAGCTACCACCAAGCTTCTGTTCCTCATCATCATCGAATTGGATCCAGTAGTCGACCGACTCTAGCGCGGCGGCTTCAGAATCGACCTTGGTGCGCTTGCGCGCATGGCCATCTCTCCGCCGCGAGTTCTGGCCCACGGCAGGCCTGTTCGGCAGGCTGTTCCTGGGTTGGCCATGACTGAACTGCATCTGAGATGGCATGGAGCCCAAGCCGAAGTTTGTGCTACCAGGAGATGCCTGTGCAAAGGATGGCAGCGATGTGGAAGGACCATTAGAAGTTGACTCGGAGTTTGCTTGATCACCCGCTAGGGAGTCCCAAAGAGATGTATCGGGTGCATTTCTGGCGGCACCTGTGGCGGATGACTCGGCGGATGACTCGGCGGATCGTTCGACGGGATTAGTGGCCTGATTATTGGGGACGGCAAAGTAGTCGAGGTTCCTGAGGAAGTTGGAGTCCATCACCAAGCCAGCATTTCGGCCCCCGAATTATCGGCGGTCGTCGGTCCAGAGATCGATATGTGAATTGTAGAGTGGGTATAGAGCGGCCCAGTGGCTTGCTGATTGTTTCTGAGCACAGGAACGCTCGGATCTCGTATGCTGCTTTTCGATCGGGAGACGAGTTTGGCCGTTTAAGGTAGCCAGTCGTACCACCTCGCGTCGTACTACCAGGCGGTGCCGAGCAAGCTCGCGCTGTCATCCAATGGTGACAGACGTCAATGAAGAGAAGTAGACTACAACAGTGACCGGCGTCGGCAGGGGTAGCTGGGGAGGCAGGATGTAGTGAAGAGCAGAAAGGCTGTTCGCACCTGTACCGTAAATGGCGTCGGTCGCAAACAGCGGGCAGTGCGACGATGGTGGCGGGCGTCAGGCGCTTGGCTTATTGAAATCAGCTGAGGTTTGGAAGACTTGAGAGTCGGTCGAAGACGAGGATTGACGGCCGAGGTGAATCAAAGGGGAACAGAGGGCACAAGCACGGAGACGTCGAACAAGACCCATCAAGCATGGGGAAGGGTAATAAAAGAGTTAAGGGTTGGGGAGGACTTTGTGGAGGTAGGAACGAAAATGACTGGTTGGTCATACCTTGAGTTTCCGGCCAGGGACGTGTGGAAGGCGGCAAGAGGTTCGCTGAGCAGAAGTAGAGAAGCCAAGGAGGCGCAGGTGGCTCGGGTGGGGGTTAGCAACGGCGACAACAGGCAGAAAAGTGTGCAGATCGCGAATTGCTGCAAGAAGGCGCTGGACTGAAAGTCGACGGTGGAAAGTCGACTGATGTTCAAAGAAGGTGAATGAGTGACCCTCGCCGGTTTCCGCGATATGGACGGAAGAGGGAGGGGGGGTGGGTGGTGGTGACTCGGGCCAGGACGGCCGAAAGGAGAAGAAAAAGGCTGTGGAGAAGGAAGAAAAAAAAAGGGTGCAGAGAGTCGCCAATTGGACACGAAAGAATGATTGAGGATGGGAAGAAATGGCCTGACATGGAATTTGCCAGTGGCCGGGTGGGACACTGACTGAGCGTATCAAAAACCGACCACTTCATCTTGACAATCGTATGATAGACAAGGCTGCTGGAGGGAGAGTCGTGCGATGTGCGCCAACTCCCGCAACAGGCCCGTTTCATTGGGCATCTGTCGATCCAGTCCCGCTCGGCTCCACCCCGGCTGTCAGCCTTGCAGCATGGCCCGAGCATTGCCCCCAGAATAGACTTCCCGCGCCGTTAGGGTCCGCCTTGGTGCTGTTTGCTTTTGTCCGTCAGCGGCTCGGACCCATATTGCTTTCAACATTGGTCCTGGACGTTTGACGCACACGACACGTTCCATTCTACCTACTGTACCTAATCGTACCGCACCTAGAACACGCAAACACGCATATCACCACCGCGCGGACAGGTGGACAGGCAGGACAGCCATGGCCCCAAGGGTATTGTACTGCGCAGTGTAATTACCTGCCGGCCTGTTGCCTCTCGGCTGTAAGGGACTCGACTCCATCCGCCCGCATGCGACGCCCTCGAAAACAATGCCCCTCCCCTTTTTTGCCAACGGGGTGGCATAGGAATAAGAGGCGTCATCGCACGAGAAACTAATGAGAGAAAGGCCGGCCTCAATATCCGTACCTTTTACCTACCTACCACTACTACCACCACCGTCGCGATGGGCCACCCAGCTCTTGATACACCTAAAAAGGCACGATTACGATGCTCTCACGAATTTTTCGAGGCTAAAAGTACCCAATACAAGAGAAAAAGAGCATTTTGCCCACTTTGGACGGGGTATTGAACTGCTGGTGTGGTGTTTTGGTGGTGTTGGAAAAAGGTATCCTGTTTTTTTTTTTCTTTCTTATTTTTACCCGAGTGGCCCCCACTTCCCGTACGTTGAAGGAGGCAATTGTCTCGTTGCTGGCTGCAACCCACGTGGGATATCCGAGAGAGACAGACACCAGCAAGCAAGACATACTCGGCACCCGGTCGCGCCGTTGGGTAAACAATTTGCGAAGATTTGCGTCGCGAGCTCCCGCCAACTACCTACCCACCTTCTCTCTCCTCCCTTGCATACCAGGTGCCTTCTACACCTCGTGTTCACCAGTCCCTTTGCTTTCAAGCCCGTTTGCTCTCTCTTCGACCACATGCTACTTCTGACGAAAGGTTGCCTCCATTTCTCACACCTCTCTTGGTGTGTGGTCGGTTCTGCAACTGCAACAAAGCACTTACCAGGCAAGCGCTTCAAGTAAGTGGTTTGGGAAACAGCAATCTCCAAGCGGTGCAACTTCCGACAAAGATCGAAAGGAAACATTGTACCCCTTCGGCACCAATGCTTTCCTTTCCCTCTCGGTAGGTTGGAGGTTTTAAGTACGAGTACTCTCCCACTTATTAAGAATATGGGACCGTCACATCATCATTCATCAATTCGTTCCCTACTCAAAATCAAGAGAATCGCCTCTAGCCATCATGAAGCCTGTCAAGATCATCACCGTTGTCCTGGCCCCAATATCAGCCAAGGCCGTCTCTGAGAAACCCGTCCACACTCCCAACCCACACGTCGAGCCAATGTGGCCCAGTTGCATCAAATTCTACCAGTCTCAGCCCAACGACACTTGCCAAACTCTGGCCGACAAGAACGGTCTCGATCTCGCTGAGTTTATTGCCTTGAATCGCGGCGTAGGGGGGCTGAGTGGCTGCTCCAGGGGAAACGCGATTGCAGGCTACTGGTACTGCGTCAAGCCGAACGGTTGGGAATAAGTACAAGCCATCGAGAAGTTATGATCCTGAGATTGGGGGAAGTTCACCTCAGGATGGAAGAGCTTTACTTTAGGCAAAGCTTTAGTCAACAAGTCACCGATTTGTACCGATTCAAAAACGTCTGGAACTAATATCTGCAAGTAGCAAAGCTAGCTCAACAATCAACATTGACAGGCCTCGTCTTCTTTGTCGCAAACAGATTATTCTCCTTTCTCAAATCGTTATAGCGGCATTGATATGGAACAACGTCACGTTAAAAGGTGGGATTCTTATTGACGTCGAGGGTTTGGATCGGCCGCTCGGTTGGCGCAGTCAGTGCAAAGCCCGGGCCAGGAGATTACATCGTGCTTGGGTTTCGGTCCTTTGCACCCTTTGCCTATACCAGAACACCACTCGATATTGTGGAAGCCAGTGTGGCCGCATTCGAACTGCTTGTCAATCTGCTTGCACATGATTTTGGAAATCACAGCTCGCACTTCCAACTCTCACTCTCTCGTCTCTTCTCGTGACCAGTATTTGCTTTCAGTACGCGTTAGCGGCTTTTAATCGTGTCAAAACTACTTCTTTACCCACGGCATTGAGCCCACAGAGAGATCCATACAATTAATACCTGAGCCCCAGTACCCTCAGCTGTGTGATTGCCCGTGACTTGGTTCTTCCCAAGGCTTCAGAAGTCTTTGAACGGATTGACTCCGTTCTCCGCCTTCTCAGCCGGTCTGCTTCGGCCTGGAAGGTCGTAGGCTGTCTAATAACAGCAGGAAGCGTGGACGGAAAAAGCAGCTTGGCTCGAACCTCAAGGCATCAAAGCTGCTACAGGGTATCCCATAAGAGTCTCTGGTCGAGAAGAACAGGTAATTTTGGCATCAAAGACAAACAGGTAGATACAGATGAGCAGAATGAATATCTTGGGGAGGTTTGAGTCTTAACGAGGCCTGAGCAAAGTTCACTGGCGGTGTGAGGTTGAAAGGAGACCAACACCTCCCCTTCTTATGCAAACGATGTAATGAGACATTGAGTAATGTGCAAGAGATACCATGTACTCCGTAGTCCGAGCCTTTCGGACGCCCTGCCGCGTTCCGCGGTACTGGAGACTGCAGCCATCCCTGAACAGAGACGCAGGTAGCCATTAATGACAGCAAGCCGTTGCAGATATCATATCTCAGCATCTGCAGAGTGATTTTAACAACTTGAATGGCGCCAAGATTGGAATGATGGCACTAGTGGACATGGTGGACGGGAAGAAAGGGGGGTCCGCCCCTCCTCCCTCAGGATTCTTACTGCATTTGTTTCTTCTCGTCAGACTCTCCTTCGTCTGGACTTTTCCATCGTGAAAGACCAACCGACACCACTTCGGCGGACGGCCTCGTGGTTTCACTTCTCCCCCATCATGCAGCCTATCAAGCGGCTTCGGCATTGGACTGCCCGGCTTCTTGCCGAGTATCATTAGACGCAAGAAGAGGTGTAGATGAAGGGGGTTGGCGCAGATATTGGTAAGAGGATCAGGGCAGTGACAAAGTCGGTAGGGAGTGATGTCAAAATGTGGGGGCTAGTGTGGTGCTATGTATTCATTGTCCAAAAACCCTGGATCCCTGCTGACTCCTCTGGGGCCCCGCCTAGTCCTATCACATCACACACTTGACGGGTAGTCCTGGTTTTGATAGATGATCTCCCTCATGGTGCCAAATGTCAAGCATCTCGGCCCAGACTGCTATGGCCCATGGGATCTCCCTTTTCAGCCGCAACCACTGCAGAGATGGATGTGAGCCAACTCCTCCCACCCTGGTAAGCTTACTGGAGTGAGACATGAGGGGTAGGGTCGTCAGAGTCCAGCCCGGCCGTGACGAGACCTGAAAGGACTCGTCCACATTGAGGTTCTTGTACGACATCTTTCGGGTCTTTCATCGAGACGCCAGAGCTTCTAGCGGCTGGGTGCATTTCTGGCCGTCACTCCTGCGTGTTGGTTGGATCCCTTGGTTCCTAAGCATTTGTTTTCAGGCAGCAACATATGAAGAACATGACGGCTTTTGCCTAGATGCTATACTGCAAATGGTTCAACAACCTTGTGGGACCCCTTACCGAACCCTTAAGAGTGTTTGCGTTTTTAAATAGTGTATGAGGGTTAAACCGGTCACTCCTGAGAGTGTTTCTCTCAAAAAGGAGGTGAATAGCAAGTGCATCCCTCATGCCTTTTCTGTGTTTTACTGACACCTAATTCCATGCTTAACTTGAGTTGAGATCGAAGAAGAGGCGTGGGTATGGAATTCGACGAGCCACTTCCTCATATTCCTCATATTGAACTACGATTTAGCCGCAAACGAGTGAGTTGAATACCTCGACGCAGCGTCAACACACCAACATGGCATTGTTACTCTTGAACAAATCAATCGGAGATTTGCGTCGGCAACTTGGGCTTACTAGACATTCTAGACTAACACCATCTGCTGTATATTCTCTTCTCTACATAGGGTTGCACCTGGCCCATACGGCGCCGTGACCTTCCCTCCCCTTCAACCACGCTCTGAGAGGGCACCTTCCCGTCCAAGCGAACACATACCCCACACACTACACCTGCCGCTTTCATTTTCCTTCTCGGACAGAGATGAATCTCGTTAGGGAAAGAACATTTCATGGTTTGTACCGTACACTACCTAGTGTATCCACCTATCCACCTACCTGAAGGTAGGTAGGTAGCTATACGGAAACTAGTAACGTCCTCTAACACCTGCCCTTCTCATCGACGGCCACTGCCGTCGACCTTGACTTGTCAACATCATCATTTACCTAGGTATCCACCTTGAATCCTTCTCACGCTTCTACAGATCACATACGAACCCTTCTCACCCCAGAACCTACGAGACATACCTCGAACTCGATAGTTCGCTGGCCCCTTGCTGTTGGTCAAGGCACAGCTTCACTTGCACCAACCACAGAGCCCGCTCCACTCTTGGAATATGATGCATCGAGATGTTCTCTTGATCCTCCTAGGATCTTTGATGACGCTTTCCTGTATCGGCAACGTCGGTGCGTTTTCATGGGGCGGTAATGGGGGGCGTTCGACCTTGCTCCAAGCATCGGAAGAGCGCATCGTGGACCCCTCAATTTCAATCCAGGACAAGTCGCGCTTACCGAACGTCTACGCCGTTGCCATGCAGGAGCTCCAAGAGCTGGAGTCCGAACCTTTGTGCCATCGTATCGCTGCCAGCCTACTGGTCAACAACTGTCAGCTACTCGACGGCAAGGACGATGCTACTATTCTGACTGATAGCGGCAGACAAGTTCGCGACTTTGTAGACTCTTACGCTGCTAGTCTCGCCATTTGTGACCTTGAAAGAGGCAGTTTTGCCATTCCCTCGAGCTGTGCGCCATTTCGAGAGCGCTCTTTGGTAAACATACCCGACTCGAGTATACCCCGCCTTCACGCCTCCCCTCAACAAATCGACTCTTGTCTTTCGGGACTGGCCAAGTCAGACTCCGCATGGAACACTTGGGTCAGCTATCGTCACAAGGCTTTGAGATTTTGTGAAGCCGCTCGTGCGGACAACGAGAAAGGTACGCATGCCCCCATCCCGGACATTGAGATTGGCGCTCACCATGTTCTATCTAGCCCAGAGCATTCGCCTCCACCAGCGACTTACAGAGGTTCTGTCTAAACTTTCCGAAGGAGTTGAACGAGAGCTCGAGGCTCATCTTCGTAACATCAATATCCGAGCGACCGAGGCAACCGATCAACTACGGCACATGATTCCAGACATCAAACAGCTACGACATAACCTTCAGGATTTGGACCGGACAATATCTGAGGATATGATTCAGATATCTCAGGTCAGTAACCAGCGATATATTTCATGCACATATCTGACTCACGAGACAGGCGTCAAAATCTATGATGAGAGACGGTCTTGAAGATGCTCAGAACCTACGTCAGCTGCTGGGCATTCTTCTCAGGACGGTTATGAGCAACAATGCCGAAGTAGCAGCATCTCAAGAAATGGCACTGGCAACTCTCAGAGAGCACGCCAACTCCGAGGTTTCTGTTGTCATGTCTACGATTGCAACAGCTGCAGCGTCTTCCGCTTCTCTTCAGAGTCTGATGGTGGGCGCATTCTATCCTCTGAGATCGCACACTAAGCTGATAATGATTCAGGAGCTGTCACATGTTCGAGTGGTCGAGCTAGCTGATCGCCAAGAACACCTTGAGAAGGTAAATAATATCACTTAAGTCTACCCGTAGATTCTTAATTAACTTTTCCCAGGGATTAGTGAGACTGCTAGACATCACCGAAGAACTCTCGTCGAGGTACGAGTCGCATACAGAGAAACTAGGCATGGCCCAGCAAATCTCGGTCGATCTTCTTGAAACACTGGATGACATGGCGATCTCGACGTCAGGGTTCCGTAACTCTCTAGGTCAAGGAACCAGCTGGACAAGCTGGATGCCATATGTCATCTGCCCGGCTGCATCTTTGCTCATGGGTTCGTACGGTCTTCCGCCGTCTGCGATCCGCAACATCGGGCTCATTATGCTAGGTGAGCTCGTTGACGCCATCCGTTTAGTCGTCTTGAATGTTGATTTTCCTACCATAGGCGAAATGGCCGGCTTCGTTGTATCTCACGCTCAAAACTTCACGTTGGGCGTTCTCAAGATCTCTCGGCCTGGGCTTCCCCCCTTCATTGACGAAAACACCACAATTGCTTTCCGTCCGGCAGAAACTGATATACTACACAGCCTACCGCTGAATTTGCGCAAAACCAGGTGATTAAGGCCGCCGAGGGACGATTACCGACCAACTATCATCAAAATATCTACACATCGAAAAACTTAGACGGTAATGGCAACTGGTCTCGGGGATATTGACTTTGGCGTTCTTCATTGGTCGGTTTGCTAGACACTTTGCTCTTAATTTTCGAAATCAGACTCATGGGCTGGTTCACCGGAGGTGCCGAGGTGGGATTGCAGCAGTTGGTAAAAGCGATGGGGTCGCCTCTGACATCATTTCTCGCAATATGGACTTAGCAAATCGCCCATTTGGGGTAGGTACATCGGTCAACTGAAGTTTAGTAGTTCCCACACATCTTCTGTTGCTTATTCTTTTTTTTTACCACTAATACCATTGTATGCCGAGCTGCGGGGAATTACATGGACATTGCCATTTTTCATAGCCGGAACCTGACCTGCAACAAAACTTTGCTGTTGTCTCCAAACCATCCAACTGCCTCGATTACCTCCGAGACCAGACGAAGGATAGCGGCGATGGCGGATAGGTTCAAGATCGCACTCATACAAATGCACCCAAAGGTCAGCGAGCCCGAGACCACCCCAAACAAAGACGCCCAAGCCATGTTTAGCTCCCGCGTTCCTTTTTCATGCTCGCCTTGATCGTCAACCTGATCCACGCAGGACCCGCGGCAACGCCAGGATATGGAACGGCCACAAAACAGTGTTCTAACAAGCATCACAGGTCGTCGCACCAGAAGAAAACTTCGCCAAAGCAGAGTCGTACATCCGTTCAGCTGCTTCGCAAGGCTGCTCGCTTGCCGTCCTGCCCGAGTACCATCTCACGTCATGGGTCCCTGACCATCCCAAGTTCGTGCCGAGCTGCGCGCAATCCGGGGTCTATCTGGAGAAGTACCAGGCGCTAGCCAGAGATCTAGTTATCTCCATCGTCCCGGGGACCATCATCGAGCTCGACGGCGAGGAGGGCGACGACGACCTCAATCTCCTCAACGTCGCGTACTTCATCGGCCCGGACGGTGGCGTGCTAGGGCAGTATACTAAGAAGAACCTGTGGCACAACGAACGGCCGCACCTCACCAAGGGCCCGGAGCCGCACGGTGCCTTTGAAACGCCTCTGGGAAGGGCGGGGATACTGGTGTGCTGGGACCTGGCGTTCCCTGAAGCGTTTCGGGAGCTCGTCCGCGATGGGGCGCGGGTAATTGTGTGCCCCGCCTTTTGGCTCGCGGACGAGTATAAGCGCGAGGATGGGGATGAGGGCGCACAGGTGGTGAACCGGGACTCGGAGAGGGTGTTTCTGGAGAACGTCATGGTGGCAAGGGCGTTTGAGAACACCGCCGCCGTGGTCCTTGTCAACGCGGGCGGCCCCGTGGGCGGGGGTGGAGTGGAAGTGCGAGAGGGCGGCGCGCGGGTGCGGTACTGTGGTGTTAGTCAGGTCGCGATGCCACTCATCGGGCCGCAGGGAAAGCTGGGCGCCGAGGAGGCGATGGAGGTCGTCGAGGTTGACCTTGGGCTATTGGACGTTGCCGAGGGGGCGTACAAGGTGAGAGAGGATATGAAGAAGGAAGGGTGGCATTATGGATATTCCATCGTCAAGGAGTGAACAATAGGATAAGGATTATACACAGTTGGGAAGAAGTAGATCAAGAAAGGAAAGAAGAAGGGGGGGGGGGCTCCAAACAAACAAGTGGAACAGAGACGAATTGATGACAACAGGACACGAGATAGGCATGTCGGCAAACAATGGCGGTTCATAATGGATGGTCATTTATTGCGGAAGCCCGGGTATCAGTGGCATGCATTGCTCTTCAAGGGAGCCAAGCCCCAGTAAAGAACTAAAGAAAAAGGAAGAGATTACCATATAACGGCATCCTCTATCAGCTCACTGGGAGCTCTGAGCGACTTCATCTAGGTACGCCAAAAACTCTCTCCTCCGCTGGATCCGCTCTTGCGTGTGCTTCTTCACGAGATAATCCCAGTACTTTTGCAGCTTCGCCCGATTAGGCCCAGCCTCCAAATCCCCGTCATCAACCCGTCGGAGCCGCCTATCATCGTTAGTCGTCCAGACCCCCTGCCAGTTGTTAGGCAGCTCCTTGTGCTTCATGAGATGCCTGAGCAGATCTGTGGCTAGTGGAGTGCAGAGTGACGTGGCCTTAAGCGCAGTAATGATATCCTCGCGCGCGTATCCAAACGTGTCGAAGCGCTCAATCAAGTCCTCAAGCTCGGCAGTCTTATCTAACGATTCTTGAGAATCGGGGATGGCACGCTCTTTCCGTTCTTTGGGGGCTACTTTGATGTCCTCGGCGGGCAACCCTCGTGCTGTAGATGAGATTGTAGCCGGTTCCCTCTCAACCCCCTTGCCCTTGTCCTTGAACGACAGAGGCACGGGTGTCACGGATTCCACAGCGTCTACCTCGCCAAGAAGCTGCTGTGACGGTGAAATGTCAAACTCGGTATTGCCTTGTGTTTCTTGTCCAGGGGCATCTTCGAAGGCAAAGTCTTGAGTCTCTGGTTCGAAGCGACGAGCTCTCCTAGAAGGGGACTGCTCAACCTGTCCTTCCATATCTAGGTCTACCTCGTCATGAACTGCCCTGTGTCCCTGTCCGGCGCTGAGCGAGGGGCTGGGGCCAATGTTCCCAAAGCTTGCGATAACTAACCTCTCGTCAGGAGTGGAAGGGATTTCATCATCTGAGGCAAAACGCTGTCTCTTTTTTCTACCATTTGGAGTTGATGGTGTACCGAAAGGATCCATGGCGATAGCCAGTCTTTTCTTGGAGGTGCTTAGAGTAGCATCTGATCGCATGTCTTGAGGCTTCGCCAGCATTCCTAGGTCAAGCTCATCCTTTTCAGACTGAGATGTTTCTTCGTCATCTTCGGATTCTGCATCGGGCTCGTCCAACACGCCGCTGGCGGCAAATTCGAAGACATAGTCTGTGTAGTACTGTTGTAATGGCTGGGCAGCCTCGCTCTGCAGGCCGAGAGACTTCGCGGCTGCTTCCCATTCAATTTCAACACCTCCTTGCTGGTACTGGTCCCTGACGACTTGCCAAAGAAGATATGTGTCGATGGGTTGCCCATTGATTTCGGGATTGATGCCAAGGTCCAATTTGTTGATTTCAGAATCGGCGGCACCTTTCAACCTTCTAAACTCCCAGAATCCCTTCAGATGATCGAAGAAGAATTCTCTCGAGATACCGTGGGATGCTACGCCATCGCCTTGTGTCGCTGGCGTCTGAGTGCTGTCATCTTTTTCTGCTGTAGGTCGTGAGACTGGCGGCACAACAGGCCCCGACGTCTTGGTTATGGGAAGAGTATCGAGTTGCCTAGCCTGTTCATCTCGTCGACTTAATTGGCCTGGCTTAAGCATGTGGTTGCTCGTAGACAGCTCCTGGGGTAAAGGATCCTTTTCCTCAAAATTTTCATCTAGCAACGGTTTCAAAATGTCTGTCCAATGCTTTCTCCAGGCAACTAAGGAGTGGCTGGTATTCTGTCACATGTCAGCTCGGTGTTCAGGTTTACCAAGGAAGAGGTGCAACGTACTCTGTCTGCGAATGCCTGGAAAAAGCGGGTAGTGAGTGGAGGGCCATGCTCCCTGGCCGCCTGTAAAAGTTCATCATCTTCAGCCTTGATAAACTTGTTTCTCTCCGAGGGAGTCAGTTCTGGTTTGGCTTCAGCCTCTTGGGTCGCGCGTTTGGCCCGCGTCTCCGCTGCCGGCAGTTGCACAACAGCTGGTGCAACAGGGGCGAGCGAACGTCCCCTTCCTGCTTGAGCTATTTCGGAGAATGGTGTTGAATGCTGGATATTAGGAGCGGAAGCAACCAAGCTGTCAAGTGCGGCTTGAGACAACTTAGAGACCTTCTTCACCCAGCGATCTCTCCAAGACTGCCTAGTGTGGCGATTATTCTTTTATACATCAGTGGCCCGTCAGAGTATACTTCTGAAGGAGAAACCCACCATCTCCTCAAGTGCTTTATATACTTCATTACCGCTCCTCTTGTTTATTGGATGCGAGAGCACCCATTTGGCAAGAATCGCATCGTCGGCTGCGGTGAATGGAGTACGGGTTCCCTTGAGTGGCGCTGACAACGCGGGAGAACGAGAGGACCCGACCGGACGCGAAGCGATAGGCGACTGATGAATCAAATACTTATCAGTCTCCTGTATAGCACCGTTATCGATGGAATCCTTTATAAACTTCCAATGGAGTGACGTGGACGGATATTCTGGCCTGGGGTGATCGGCGATGATTATGTCCGCCTTATTAGTATCAGTCTTGACGATCTTGCCGCCGTTTTGCTATTAACGTAAGCCTACAATTTCACCATGACAGTATCGCGGGCGCAGACGTACTGTGATTAGATCCAGGATGGTCTTCCTATCGGGAACGCGCTGGAAAACGTAAAAACTGGTCTCCTTGAAGAGCAGACCTCGGGCACCGGGCACCCCGCTGTATGTGATTGCCGCTGACATTCTGTGAGATCAACTATATTCTGGAAGGGATACGAAGCGGATGGTCTCGGTAGACTCGATCTGTCCAGTGCTGAAGATGCCCTGCGCGTCGCTGATTGCGGGCTCACACCCGCGGTTGAAATGATAGAGAGTTTGCGCGTACTGGGACTGACACCGAGCGGAATGAACTGATGCTTCTTTTGCAACCAAGCACCCGGTCAATGCTGTAGCCAGGCGCCAGGTGGGGAAGCACGTATTGATGTAATTCTTAAAAGTGACGAGGGGATTTGCAGAGAGATTGAGCTTGTCAGCGAGGTCGGATTCCCCAACTAGGCGAACATGAATATGGGACCAGACGACGACCACCCTTGCGTTTGATGCAAGGAGCATTTGGTGCAAGGAAAATGGATGTCGTTGTTTGGCCCAAGCCTAATAGACAAATGTGCAGATTACTCTTGGTCTTGTGCAACCATGTTACACTGATGATGCAGCGACGCGCAGTTTCCTTTGTGCGTCGCGTGATCACGTGTGAAGATAAAAGGTATGTACCTAGAGGATATAGCTCTATAAAGGTTACGTAGCCTTCCTCGAACGAAACGAAACGCTATGACCTCTACTGGTCGATACAACAATGCTCTGGCACATTTGATGACATCGCTCCCAGTGAACTTTCCTCGTACCGAGTGCTTGAAGCCTTCCCATCAGTCACTTAGCCCATGTCTGACAAAAAAGTATAGTGAGATCAACCAGTGTCTTGTAGCTCCAAGATCATTGGGAGGTGGTGGGCCTTGACTGACACCTCAGGTTTTATCCACTCACTACGGAGTACGGCCGCTGACTTGAGCTTCTTACTGCACTGCCCGCTTCAGCCGATCTAAAACTCGAGCTTGACAAGACACCTTTAGACAAACGCTCGTCTTCTTTACCCTTTCCTCTCAAATAAACTATGATTCACGAGAAGTGATAATAGTTTGAAATTCAGTCATCATGGTGACTTTTAGGAACGTGGCTCTCTTTGTGTTGGGCATCTCTTTCATGGTCTTTGTCGCCTTCTTCGGCCGGCTACCGGCTTTAAGGTTCGTAATCTCACCCAGTTCGTCGGGCAGTTGGACCTACCGTATATAGCTTGTAAGATTTATTTGCTAACCATCAGCAGGCACACCCCTATCGCAACGCTGCATAGAGTCATGTGGATCCATATCCCGAACGGCTTCCTAGCTGTAGACAGACTTCTGACTGGAGGAAGGTTCTCAACCTCCATGATGCGCTTCGGCAACTACATGATGTATGACCGGCATCCCACTGTGGTCGTAAGTGGCTGGATAAGAGAAACAGATATCGTACTCTTGTTGTTCAGACGAGCTGACATTTGCAGATCTTCTTCCTTCTCATCCTTTCCGTGTCGGAATACTTATACCTGCCTGGCGCCTGGCCCCATCTCTCTATCTTCCACAAAGTCACCGGCTCTATCGCCACTGTGCTTCCATACCTCTTTCTCTACCTCTCCGTCATGGCCGACCCGGGCTACATCACACCCGAGAACCACGCCTACTACATGTCCCTCTATCCTTACGATTACTCCATCTTCTTTCCTGGCCAGATGTGTAGCACCTGTAACCTCATCAAGCCGCCCCGCTCCAAGCACTGCAGCATCTGCAAGCGCTGCGTCGCCAAGCTTGACCACCATTGTATATTCATCAACGGTTGTGTAGGCTACCAAAACCAACACTACTTCGTTCTGCTCTTGCTGTCCACGGCCTTTCTCACCTCGTATGGTGCCCTACTCGGCTTCTCCCTGCTGGGTGGCAAAATTGGCTCGCAGTATCCAACGTGGTCGTTCTGGCTACCGAAGGGCATGGGGCTCAAAGAGTACCTGCTCATCTGGAGCTGGGCCCTGCAAGACAGTGTCGGTATGGGCGCCGTCACCCTGCTCGCTGCCATGACGTCGCCTCTGGTCTGGGGGCTACTAAGCTACACTGTCTGGCTAATCTACTGCGGCACCACCACCAACGAATCGCTGAAGTGGTCAGACTGGAAGGCCGAGATGGACGATGGCTGTGCTTTCAAGCGCAGCATGTCCGCGAATCGTGTAAAGGACACGCGTTTCGAGCCAAAGCGGACGCGCTGGCCTCTAGAGGCCGTGCAGGTACTGGCGAGGACCGACGACGGGATGCCTCCCCCCGATCACGGGCCGGGTGCGGGTGAATGGGAGCGGGTCTGGAATCTGAAAGACGTTGAAAATCTGTATGACCTGGGTCTATGGGATAACCTGGCAGACATCTTCGTCTCCAACTACGACTTCAATGTCAAGCGCGATCAGCCGCCCGTGGAAAATCCCGGACGACAGAGGCACGCATCTAAATCTTGACCCTTCTAGCCACACCACTCGATCCAAGATATTTGTCGTAAATAGTGTTTAATGTAACGTATCCGCCTTGGTCAATGGCGTCCTGATGGCGTTATGCACCGAATGTTTGTTGTAGCCCCGTATTCATTGTTTAAATATGACCAGATCAGACATACAGGAATCGATCAGATAGGGCCACGCACGAAGGACATGATTTTGACGTTTATCTTCGTTTCATTTTAACATGTCTCATCTAGTTCGTACCTGCTGAACCCAAGGATTCTCAGACGCCCAGCTACTCAGGGTTTCGATAAGCCAACCTCGAGAATCTACTGATTATGCTATCGTTTCTTGCATTGCTCGTCCAACGTGGCCGACTACTGAAAGGTTTACGCTTCCTTGTGAACTTATTCGACAGCAGTCGAGTACCCTGAAAAGCCTGTTCTTGCTCAGAAGTGTGCGTTTAGAGGATGGTGCCGAAACTGAGGAAAGTGTTAGTACATTGGATGTATACAGCTTTGAGACAAGAACATACCCAAAGGTGCGCTTGATGCTGTTGACGTAGTATTCCTGCCAGTTTCGCTTGGTCGCCTCCTCCTCGCCAACCGGGACCCCGTCCCAGTTGACGCGCATCAGCGTAACATGGTCAACATCGTTCTGATCGAACTCAATGCTGAGCTTGGAGAAGTGACCCTCGGGCCACTGATTCAGGCGCCAGCTCTGGACAATCTTTTTTGGGGGGTCGAGCTCAAGGTACTCGCCGGTGACGTTTCCATCAAATAGCTCAAACTTCGCGCCCTTGATAGCGCCCTGGAAGACCTTAGGAGGTGCACGGGTGAAGGCGGCGATGCGTGCGGGGTCGACGAAGGTCTGGTAGGCCTCCTCGGCGGTAGTGCGGAATTCGGCTGTGTCGGTGAGGGTCGTGGTGTTGACAACCTTACCGCTGCCGGTCTTGACACTTGTCGAAGCCGAGGTGGACTTTGCGGACGAGGCTGGAGGGTGATACTTGGGCGTGGAGAAGCCGCTCGAAGGGTTGGAGCCGGGAGCATGCTGGATATCCTTACCATGCTCGGCGATTAAAGCTGCAGGAAGCTTGATGAACTCCTGGCGGAGCTGGGGCAGAAGCTTAGAGCGAACCAGGTCCTTGACAGGCTGCTTCTCCTTGGCATCGGAGTAAATGTCGATATCGAACTGTTGAGGCGGAGATCTTCAGTAAAACGGGGTCTATGGAACGGCAGAGATTTCACTTGGACCCACCACAAAGTCGTTTTCCTCAGTATCGTGGGCGACCTCAGGAATAGTGATGGTGCCCGAGACCTCAGTCTCGTCAGAGGTGGTGCCTACGCTACGTTAGCGAGGCCCCAATCGACTACTTCACACAAAAACGATACGATGGCAGGCAGAGGTTTGGCGTTGTTGAACGAGGTATTATGGGATAAAACAAATGTGTTTGCATTCAAGTATGACCTACCGGTGTATTCTAAGACGAGCTTAACATCATAAATGGTGATGACCTTGCCCTTCCTCTGGCTAACGTCGACGTCGCCATCCATGCTCACAACCTTGCTAATCTTTGCCGTGACACCGCCATCGGCAGACTCGACCTTTGTCAAGCTCTCCTCAAGATACTGTTTGGCCCAGGCCGAGGCATCCTTGTTGACCCAGTGCCAGTTGTTGGGGTTGTGGAGGACCATCTTGTCGGCGGTGACTCGGTTTCTGATTTCAGGCTGCGAGGTAGGAAAACGGGTGACTGTAGGGTCCGAACGGCGGGTTAGCAAAGAAGGAGACGAAATGTGACGGTGAGGTGTTGTAGGAGGTTGATGGGTGTCCCGGATCAGTGGTTGGTCAAAAGACCGCAGCGTTTTTCATCAAAGATGGGAGTACAAATCACTCTATGACTGGTGCCAGCTGGCGTATCATCATGTTGGGAGGGAAAGCGTGGGTAAATAAAAGGAGACGGGGAATAGGGGATGCTGTCCTTACCTCAGTGCGGATTGGCGCGTTGGGGTGTCATGTCCAGAAGCGTTTGCGCATGGAAAGAAAGAGAAGAAGGAATTAAATCTGAGCGTGGGACCTTCTTTTGAAAGAAAGCTCTAGAATTCTGACGGTCCTCAGCTGGCGGGCGGTAAATTTTCGGCCGTTTGGTTTGCCCGCTCTTGCGGCATGCTGCCCCCCCACCTTTAGCTCCATTGCTGCCACAGTCAGTACAACGGTGCTGCGCCTATTGGTGGCCTGTGCTCCCGATGACGGACGGGAAAGAAGCTTCGCAAGGAAGCCGCAAGGCTACCCACCTACCTGCCAGCTCGTTCGCGTCTTCGTCTGCACAGATTGGTGGTCCTTATCGCATCGGCATTTACCACTTGAAGAACGCCTTGCATGTTCAACATCGTCATCCAGTCTATACACAAATAGTTCATGTCGGACCCATGTTCCAACTCCCTTCTTTTCATTCTCCTTTCAAGGCATGCTGCGATGCCGCGCCTCTCTCTGGTCGCTTGATTTTCCAATTCACCATACACCACCTCTGCGGATCGCATAAACGGGACATCTTGTGGTCAGCATACATGAAGTCTCCATTCGCAGATGTCGGTTTGTGAGATCGCGAGTGATCTTGAGTCCTTCCTTCTTCAACTTCAAAGAGAACCCACCCCTGAGGTTTATCACTTGATCACCTTTGCGACAGAGGCCATTAACCGGACACTGCCTAGGTAGAGAGTGACGAGCTGCCAAAGAAGCACCCGTAGCATGCGACTACACGGCTCGTCTTATTAAGACACCCTAGATAGCAACTTACAGCCCCCGAGAATTGAACCAGCCCATATGTGAAACGTGCTGCCATGTGGACCTATTAGCTATGGATAGTTTCCAAGCCGAATTCTGGAAGCCGGATGTGGTCGCTCCCGGTCGGCCTGGTGTCCGCACTTGACGTGACCGTGTCTCTTTGAATGATTTGTATGTGTTGTGAAAGCCGTCAAATAATGATGTCTTGACCACCGCATTCACACGATGTTACCATGCGGAAGCAGAGGCATCATCTCAACAGCTTGCGCGACGCCGATGAATCCCATCGAGGCCACAGGGTGCCATAAGATTTCGACAAATTAAGCTGAAGATGTCATTGGTGAATGTAACCCCAGGCTCACGGATACCTCGCGAGTCGAATATCGGAGTCAACGAATAGCAATCATGGAAATAGAACATCTCCGCCTGTTCTTGAGTCTCCCCGCAACGCCAGGCTAATCACGCTGGAAAACCTCCTCGTCATGTGCAAGCCCCCCTCGGTACCTGGCGCATCTCCAAACCAACCACCCGAAGTATCTTGCCGACAGACAAGGTAAGTGATAGAGTCGGTGAGAACAACAACCCACAAGTCCCGGTTGCTGACTAGGACTAAAGCTTTGCCAGACGCTAATGCATACCTGTTCATGAGGCTGCCAGGCCAGGATTCGAACGGCAAGTGCGAGCACAGAAGAGGAGACACGGCTAGGATAACAACCGTACCTTAGTTGGCCTCTCGGACAAATCAATGATCATTTTAAGCGCCGACAACCACCTCGACACTCTTTCACAATGCTACCGACCAATCACGCTCTAGAAATGCACATGGTACTCGCCAGGGTCCTAGGAGGGTTCTAAGAATAGATGGACCACCCGTTAGACAGCCGACCAATCGTTGCTGCCCCCCGCCAACATCTCCACGAGTTTCTTCTCTTGGCTCCATCAAAAGACAGGCCACTTTGGAGAGAACCCTGGCGCAATGTTCACTCGCCTTTCCTCTTGGGTGGTGGCAGGTCGAAACGGGAGTTCCTCAATACTACAGGTAGTGTACGGAATTTTCGCATCTTCTCGTTGGTAGTCCATGCCAAGACCTCAAGGTCCGCCGGCCATATCGACACTACGCTACAATCTTGGCTCCGAGCTCCTCTTCACCCCTCCTCCAGGTTGCTGCTCTGGCCGATGGGCGATTGTGACAGTACGTAGTAGGTACCATGCTACTCTGTTGTTCTGCAATGGGAAAAGAAAACCAGAGATTGAAATGATTGAACAGAGTCAACAACAACAAGGCGGATAGCAGCATTCCGCCTTCTGCATGCTGTCATCACGCATTCGCAACCACATGAGATATTGATGGTCCCGTCGCAGGACAGCCGATGCTACTAGAGCAAAGAGAATCTGCCTCAGTTCCCCTGTCGTGCCCCGTACCCCGCTATGAGGTACATTTATGCCATGCGTTAATCAATGTCTGGGGAGTAAGTAACTCTCCCGTCTCAAAGGCAGTTAGGTAGTTATGTTTGCTTCATCGGGGCTTTTAGATCCACCATCACACTTTTGCCCTGGGGCCCGGCTGCTATTCCTGTCTTGCGTGGTTGCTCCCGAGAGCCCGCTTTCTCCGCGTCCCCTCCCTATTTTCTGAATGTCTTGCCTCGACCTTCCAAGACGTAGGTGTCGCAGGGGGGGGAGAGGGGGGAGGGGGTGCGCTTCGTGTTGGCAGGCGATCAAGTGTGAGCCACCATCCCCGGTACCCTCCCACATGCGTGCACCCCCCGTATGCAGGAGTTGACCACACTGCAGCTGCACCAGACCAGGCCTGGCCGCAGACATCTCTTTTATCTTCTCCATCCTCCCACCAGAAAATTGTTTCCTCTGCTTCAGCCGCGCCCTCTCACCTTTCGGTGTAACACGACCTTACCTGCCGGCTGCCTATCCGCTCTCTCGGTTGTGTGGTGTGCTCCGCGACATGAGATTGTCATCCCTTCAGTCAAGTTGAACGGGTTGGCAAAGCGAGGAAGAAGAGCAGCGGCCAACAAGTTGCTGCTGGCTCGGGTCTGTCTGCCTTTGCCCTCACCTATTAACCACCTTGGGGTTCTCCTCGAATCCCAACCTTTGCTCAAATCTCAGCCGTTCCTCAAGCCGCCCAGCATCCACCAACCTGACTGATCATGAGTAACCCTCGAGATCCAACCAGGCTCCGACAGGGTCTTAATCCGTTGCTGACCCAGTCCTTGGGTGCATACCACAGCCAGATCAACACCCCGCTGTCTGCAGTGTCTTCGACGCACTTGCACTCAGCTCACACACCGGCGAGTGCAATCCAGCCCTACAACCCGCAAGAATGGATAGCTTCACCCGCAACTGGTCCCGAGCGACCACACCAGTTTCCAGAACAGGGTAAATCTTTTGACAAACCCCAGCCGCGCAGGGTTGGCTTGGCTAACAGTCTTTAAGGATCGCCATTGCCCCCGCCTCCATATAGCCCTCCGCGGAGCCAACGACCGCCGAGTGGCATCTTCGAGTCCTCACCAGCGGCCAATACATCGGCGGCACGCATTCCTCCCACGAATCTTCATAGGCCATCACCAGAACCTTCTACAAACACATCTTTTCCTCCGCCACCGGGTGCCAATGGCCGGGGAGGCTCCCGGGAAAGGCGATTTGGCTTCCCTTCCCTGAGGCGGAGTAGAGAACACCACGATTCAAGTCCTCCGGACCCCATGCCACCTATTTCGCTGTCGAGACCAGCACCCCTTCAGATACAGATCCCACATCCTATGCCATACCCCAACGATTCTGGCTCATCCCAGGTGCCGCCCGCGGCTCGACGAGCTGCTTCTGCAAGTGCTGTTGAGACGCCGACTTCGGCTCGCTCACGCTCAGCGTCACAAACAAGATGGGAGCCCGGAATGCCACTCCCACCACCGCCACCGGTGCCACCATCGGCTTCGTCTCGATCTCAGAGTGTTCAAAGCTTACATAGAACGACCACGCCCATGGCATCGCCACCTACGAGGCGGCCACCGCCAAGCGGCGTGGCAGCTCTGGGACCAGTTCCCCCGACACCTGCAGATTGGGTTGACCAACCCGAAGAGGCGAATCGCGAATCTCAGCGTAGGCCTTCTCCGGGCCTGACTGTTGACACCGCGAGTGCCTCAAGCTCAACTCAGACAGGAGATTCAAGCAACTCTGGCGCACTGAGCTCTGGTGGAAGTCTCAGCCGGGCGAGAGCAGTCCGTCACGACAAAACCATCGTCCAACGTCGTTCAGAAAGCCGCACTAGACATGGGGGACCGCACAACTCAATAGACGGTGCCATCAACCCGGTCCAGCTTAGCGATATTGTCGTTCCGAACGGAGGCATACTTTCTCGCCGGTTGACGATCAGTAAATCAACACCGAGAAGTGGAGGACAGACAGCAAACGACACACCTAGGACAGATGAGCAGTCAACAACACCGCGGGCACCCGGGTCATCACAGCGGCCTCGAGTCGAAGCTGCCACGCCTCCTTTCTCGCCTCACCCATCAAAAGGCACCCCCGTGGTTGACGGATCACCAAGCATAGCCCCCAAAGCACTTCCGACACCCCCTCTCCAAGCTCGATCGGCGTCCAGCTCCCAGACAAGGTTCAGCTCCGTGACCCCTGCAGATGGGCTCCCGTCAGCGTTTATGTCGGCCACAAAACATGCTGCCATCACACAAACCGCCGATCAATTCTGCACTGAGACGATTGAACGGTTTCAAGCATTCGCCATGCAAGAGACCACGGCAGCCTCTGATGCCGAGCGTGTTCGGCTATTTGCCGACTTTATTGTAAGTGAGTCGAGGATCAGACGCGAAAGATATTCATCCGCAATCGGTGCTATGGGCTCGGAAATCTTCGATTTGACAAGAGATTTGTTCCGCCCCATGGTGGCGAGACGAGAATCCGGAGCCTCCCAGGCTGAATGGACGCCTCAGTCTTCTGAACCGACCCGGTCGCATCGCGGTTCACTCAACTCAATCTATCGTGAGACTCCCGGAGAATCCAGCTCAGCCCCTGCGTCAGCAAACATACCGGGTTCGCCCATCGGAGGTCCTGCAAACCCCAATTATTCCTCTAACTACATGCCGTCCCTTTCTCCGATATTGAGTCTCAGTGTCAGCGATAACTACGACGTCGATTCCCGTGGACGCCCAGCAAGCAGGTGGTGGGAAGCAGACTCTTCAGGAGCAGGCGGCAAATTGATTGAGAGGTCCAAGAGGGAGTCCAAGTATATGGGCGTGCCCAAGGAAGCTCGAGAAGCACTTCAGTGGGAGGACACTCCGCAAAGACCTGAAGCATTCGCAGGGCCCAGTAATTTGAGATCGTCGAATGACAGTTACCCTCCTGAGAAGATGGGATGGCATGAGCCGGAGCCCGTAGTTACACCCCAGCAAGTACGATACTCTACAAACTCCCTTGGATCATCAGCTTCGCCCACAACACCGAACCCGGCCCACTTGGATGTCTCGCGTCTCGTCACACTGCCACCGCCGTATCCCCGCCATCACCCGGCCGTGAACAACAATCATCCCGAGCTTGCCGAGACGAGGATGGCCGTCCGCCAGATTAGCGACCTCTCCGAGATTGAAGCCACCAGGGAAAGGTTCCAAGCGACTAGTACCAAGAAACGCGAGGAGGCCGCAAAAGCCTCTGCCGAACGGCGACATGCTCTGCGGACTAACCTCCAGGAGGAAGTCAACGTCGGTAACATGTCCTTCGCCGAAGCATCAGCTATCGATCAAGATTCGGTGGCCGCCGAGAAAGAGAAACTTAAAGAACTTGGCAAGACGGAATTTGAGCAGTTCCAAAGCCAGGTTGTAATGCCGCTCAACGACCTCGTCACCGGTCGCATTGCGAAGGCCACAGCATTGTTCGACAAACTGGCGAGTGGTCTCTTTGACGACGTGGCAAGTGCGGCAGACATGCCACAGGAAGAAGGCGACGACAAGCCTGAGCTACTCGAAAAGCTGACGCTGCTCAAGTGGATATTTGAGGCTAGGGAAATGCTGCACCGGGCCATCTACGACATCCTCACAGACCGGAACAACCGGTACCGTGACGTTGTGCTGACGCCATATCGGCTCGCCGGCAACGAGGAGAAGCTCCGCAATGCTGAGGGCTTCTTCGCTGAGGACGCCGCGAAGCGGCAGCTGGCTTTTGCGCACGAGGTGTTTGCGCGCACGCAGGAGTTCCAGGCCGTCATGGAGCAAAATGTGATGCGTGGTGTGGAGGTACAGCTCTCAGCGTTCTGGGACATCGCGCCGCCTCTTTGCCGGCTGCTGGAGAATATCCCGCCGTACCTGGAGAACTTCAACATCCAGATCCCGACAGCCGAGTATGAGGAAAACCCGTCGTACCGTAGGCACCCACTGCAATATCTGTTTAGCCTGCTCCTGCACACGGAGAAGAGCACGTACCAGTTCATCGAGTCGCAGACGAACCTGCTCTGCCTGCTACACGAGGTCAAAGAGGCCGTGACGCATGCCAAGGCCAGGGTCGTCCAGAGCGAGGCCGAGGACGGCGACATTGAAGAGTGCGGCGACGAGGAGCGCGAGGCGCGGGCGCAACGTCTGCGGCATGAGGAGGGCCTGGTGCTGACAAACGACCTGAAGGAGAAGGTGCGCGTCGTCCAGGACCAGTGGACCAGCGCTCTGGGCGAGAAGATCAAGAATGTTAAACAGATGTTGGGGGAGTATCTGTTAGAGACGGGGGGTTGGGACGAGACCCTTGAAGAGGGCGGCGTGGGAAGTGTCTAGAGAGAACGTCGGCGTCGAGAAGACTTGGAAGAGGCAAGGTGATGGGTTATAGATTTTTTTCTCATGGCTTCAACGACGTTGATACCCCTTTGCGTATGTAACGACTCTTATTTTACACTTGTACATACTTGAGAAGCGCCGGGTGTTGGATCTGCAGCCCAGGAATCCACTTGATATGACACGAAGAGATGGAAGTGAGAAGCTCTATTTTCTGAGCCTAATTCGAGTGTTTCGGGAACGTGACAATGCGCTCCCGTTTTGAAGCGCTTTGGTCCTCTGGAGATTTTCGCACGTTGATGATAAGTCTCTTGAATGTGTTTTCCGACCCAAACGCCTGCCCCTGGTAATGTACATGTTAAAACAAGGTGCGTAAAAGAGAGGTATTGACGGTGAAGAAACTCGTCAAGACCGTAGTATATCCGTATTCGTAACAAGGAGATGCCCCAACAGTCATTGTGGTAGACGGTCTTTATTCTCGGCCGATAATGTCGGATGTCCCGAACGTGCAACCGAGCCTCGTGGCTCGACCGGCACCCGTCTGCATCTCCCGCGAGCCTCCAACACTCTACAGCTCAATTCAGCCACAAAGTCGATTAATTCAACCGATCTTTGAATTCCTTGGGCAAGTCCATGCCGACCCTCCGGGCCGTAAGGCGCACGCGTTCCTCCTCGTCCATGTCCATGCCCGGGTTGTAGCGCTCGAGAAGGGTAACATAGGTGCGCTGGGCGCGGAGATAGGCGGCGAGTTGCTCGGCCTCCGCAGTGACAGCTTCGGTGTTGGCGTTGGCGCTGGTCTGGGCGAAGCTGGCGCGCAGGCGGTTGTGGATGGAGGAGCGCTCGCGGGCGAGGACGGGACGGGGAGGAAGCTCGCGCAGGAGGGAGCGGTAGATGGAGCGTAGGCGGGGTGCGGCCGTCATCGTGTATCTGTAGTTGGGCAAATTTGCTGGCGTTGTTGTTTTTGCTGTTCTCGTTGTCGTCGTTGTCGTCGTCGTCGCCGTTGCAGTATGATGCCGGTTGGAGACGTCGAGGTGGTGTTGGCGCGGTGATTGTAGTGAATAATTTTCTGTAGCGGTTCACGATGGAATGGGAAGTGGTCAGGGTCCTCCTCGTGTATACCTTGGAGCTTACCTTACGGTACCCTACCTAGCTGCCTAGGTAGGTAGGTAGGAAGGCAGCGGCGGTGGATCCTTGCTGCTGCACGCTGTACAGTGCACAGTACCTCAGGCACCTGCAGCGGCAGTCGTTACGCACTGCACTGCCGCTATCGGCCACGATTCCCCACACCAGCACAGGGAGCAGTGGGCACGCATAGAGGGGTGTTACCTAAATGCCCCTCGACAGCGCATTCTCAGCCCTCAGACCTGTCTGTCTCGTCCCCCTCTTCCAACCCCTCCTCTCTGCTCAGGCCCATATCCACAGAATGAGAAGTGGGTGATCTAGTGAAAAGTCGATTGGTACTGTACTGGCAGTTGCTGGCTATTACATCCCGTGTGCGTGTGTATGTCCACATTTGTATCGAAAAATAGGTACCACACGATACCCCTCCGAGTGCCCTCGTATGACGCAACAGCTGTGCTTTCTTGGACTATCCCGGCCAGATCAGACCCAAAAGCCTACCCGTCTCCGGCCTGCTACACCCCTCCATACACACCTTCTACCTCGTCCGAGACTTCTATGCCCTCCGACGTCCAACCATCCAACAAAACGAGACAGAAACCCGCCAACATCTCGTCCATACCCTTCCTCCTCATCTCCTCCGTATTCGTCGTGACGCTGGCCATCTTGTCCCTACGAGCCATCCCCCGGCTCTCCCTCCTCTCGGACCACTTCCTCCCCGCCACCCTCTTCGCCAACTCCCCGCGCGCTTTCTTCTCGACTTCAAAGAGCCCGTCGCCCGCCATGCCCTCGTACGCCAAGGAGCTCGAGGTCGCCCAGCTGGCCGTCCAGCGCGCCTCCATCCTCACCAAGCGCGTCTTCCACGAGAAGGCAAAGGGCACCGTCGACAAGAACGACAAGTCCCCCGTTACCATTGGCGACTTCGGCGCCCAGGCCCTCATCATCTCCGCCCTCCGCCATCACTTCCCCGACGACGAGATCGTTGCCGAGGAGGAGGCCGCCCAGCTGCGCTCCGAGCCCGCTCTGCGTGACCAGATCTGGGAACTCGTCCGCACCACCAAGCTCGATGACTCCTCAGCCGAGTCCTTCCTCGGTGGCGCCATTGAATCTCCCGAGAGCATGATGGATCTCATCGACCACGGAAACAGCAAGGGGGGTGCTGCCGGCCGCATATGGGCCATCGACCCCATCGACGGTACTAAGGGATTCCTCCGTGGCGGCCAGTACGCCGTTTGCCTCGGCCTCATGGTTGACGGCGACGTTAAGGTCGGCGTCCTCGGCTGCCCTAACCTTCCCGTCGACGATAAGGCACCTCTGACGGCCGACATTGGTTCCAACGCCAATGACGACACAGGTTACGGCGTCATCTTCTCCGCTGTTCTTGGCCAGGGCGCCACCTCCCGCCCGCTGCGGACGGGCACCATTGCCGAGGGTGCCCACATCTCCATGCGGCCCATCACCGAGATGTCGGCAGCGACCTTCTGCGAAAGCGTCGAGGCCGGTCACAGCGCACACGATGACCAGGCGCAGATCGCTGCCAAGCTCGGCATCACCAAGCCCAGTGTCCGCATGGACAGCCAGAGCAAGTACGGCTCCATCGCCCGTGGCGCCGGCGATATTTACCTCCGCCTGCCCGTCAGTGCGACATACCAGGAGAAGATCTGGGACCACGCGGCGGGAGACCTCATCGTGCGCGAGGCCGGCGGCCAGGTCACGGATATCCACGGCAAGAGATTGGACTTTTCCGTCGGCCGGACATTGGCAAACAACAAGGGTGTCATCGCCGCGCCGGCCGCAGTGCACGGAGATGTCTTGAAGGTTGTACAGGACGTTCTAAGCTCAAAATCCACCTAGGCAAAATACAAGAGAATAGATCTGTCACTTTTGTTTATAAAGAACAGCAAAACGAAAGAGAAAAAGTAATAGTATACAATGTGTCTTTTTTCTTCTTTCCCGCCCGCACAGTGATATCAATACAGCTGTACACAGCCCTCTGGCTTTTATGTTGGATAAGCACCGCACCCGGGCCCGTTGTAGCGGTGCCATAAATCTATCCGCACACTTCGTCTGCCAACTCTGCGTCATCTATTTGATCTTCTTCTGCTTCAACTTGATGGTCTGGTCGTTGATGAAGACACCCTTGCCCTTATACGGTTCCGGCGGCCGCCACTTGCGCACGCGGCCAGCAAAGCTCATGATCTCCTCCCGGTCGATGCCCTCAAGGAGGATACGCGTCGGGCTCGCTGCCGTCGCCTTGACGCCACGCGGGATGCCCAGCTCGACCGGGTGCGTGAAGCCAAGCTTCAGGCAGAGAAATTTCTGGCCTGGAAACTCTTCCTTGCCGCCTCGCTGCTCGACGGTCGCGCGGTATCCGATGCCTACGAGACGGAGAAGCGCCGTATGACCTTCCGAGACGCCCATGATGTAGCGCTGGAGGTAGGCCCATGTCGTGCCTGTTGAATGGAGAATCAGTCAGCAAACGATCCAGTTAACGGTTTCGTAAGAACGGAGAGCCATTTCAGCACGAGCCAGAGCTCAGGCTTGCTTCAAACAGATACACTAGACCCAGGTAGCAACTCACCCCACATCTCGCTCTGCTCCTTGACATTCGAGTCCTCGACGCTGAGAAGCGCCCGCTTGCCCTCGACATCGTGGTCGATATTCAAAAAAGACGGGACCTCAAGATCCAATTTGCCTAGTTCAACCCTCTGGTTAGCATTTACTAAACCTCTGTTTCCGTGGGCAGTTTTAGCCAGGACAAACACGAACCCAGGGGTCCCGTAACAGTGACGGTCCTCTTGTACACCTTGAGATAGCTCGTCAGATCCTTCTTCAGCTTGGGCTCACTTATGGCCAGCTCCACGCCAGGCGGAATTGATAGAGGCGTTCGGCCGAGCTTCGAATGCCGTGTCGGCGTCGAGGAGAACCGTCGTCGGGACAGCAGGAGATTTTGCTGCTGCAGGAATGGCGCGAGAAACGCCGGTATCGTCGTAGCTGGCGAGGCGGCAAACACCTGCCTCGAGGCCGTTCCTCGGCTGGAGGCAAGCATTGTGGTCGTGAAATGGCAAGCTTCACCCTCCAAATACGCTCTCCTTCGCGTGTTGATTGACAGATGGGATTAGGGACCTACAGGAACTTTTCCGCGTCTTAGTCATCCACATCAGATCCACTTTGACGCTCCTTCTGATTGGCCCCGGTTCAGCTCGAGGGTGTCCACGTTTAAACATAGATAATCTGTCAGTCACGAAAGAAGATACGAATACTTGAACTCTGGCAAGATTAGAGGTGTCGCAATTGCCATAAAACTATGCATTTGATGTTGCCAATAATTTGTACAGAGTAATCTCTGATTCTTCGTACTCATTTTGATACGCCAGGCGAACTACTAAGAGAGGTATATCTAGAAGCCCATTTCCAGTGCAGAGCTGGAATAGTGAAGCGAAATGCCACCGCAGACGGGTTGGGTGAAGACATGGCCAAGGTGGCACAGCATTTTCAGACAACGCTTAAACCTCCTCCTCCAGGGGGGCGTCATCCTCGTACTCCTCCTCCTCCTCATCAACACCAGCGTCCTGGTACTGCTGGTACTCAGAGACCAAGTCGTTCATGTTGGACTCAGCCTCAGTGAACTCCATCTCGTCCATACCCTCACCAGTGTACCAATGCAAGAAAGCCTTGCGACGGAACATGGCAGTGAACTGCTCACCGACACGCTTGAAGAGCTCCTGGATGGCGGTAGAGTTACCGACAAAGGTGGAGGACATCTTGAGGCCGCGGGGAGGAATGGAGCAGAGGGCGGTCTGGACATTGTTGGGGATCCACTCGACGAAGTAAGAAGAGTTCTTGTTCTGGACGTTGCGCATCTGGTCCTCGACGTCCTTCATGGCGACCTTACCACGGCTGAGAGGCAGCTGTTAGCAAGTGCTGACATTGTAGGTTGGCTGGAAATGACACTTACAAGATGGCAGAGCAGGTCAGGTAGCGACCGTTGCGGAAGTCAGAGGCAGCCATCATGTTCTTGGGGTCGAACATCTGCTGGGTGAGCTCAGGAACGCTGACAGCGCGGAAAGAGTGGGCACCACGGCTGGTCAGGGGAGCGAATCCGACCATGAAGAAGTGAAGACGGGGGAAAGGAACCATGTTGACGGCCAGCTTACGCAGGTCAGAGTTCAGCTGACCAGGGAAACGCAGGCAGGTAGTGACACCGGACATGACGGCAGAGACGAGATGGTTCAGGTCGCCGTACGAGGGGTTAGAGAGCTTAAGAGTACGCATGCAGATGTCGTAGAGAGCCTCGTTATCAATGCAGAAGGTCTCATCGGAGTTCTCAACCAGCTGGTGGACGGAGAGAGTGGCGTTGTAGGGCTCAACAACGGTGTCGGAAACCTTAGGGGAGGGAACGACGGAAAAGGTAGCCATCATGCGGTCGGGGAACTCCTCGCGAATCTTGGAGATCAACAGAGTACCCATACCGGCACCAGTACCTCCACCAAGGGAGTGGGTAATCTGGAAGCCCTGAAGGCAGTCGCAGCCCTCAGCCTCGCGGCGGACGACGTCAAGGACCTGGTCGACAAGCTCAGCTCCTTCGGTGTAGTGACCCTTGGCCCAGTTGTTGCCGGCACCGGACTGGCCAAAGACGAAGTTGTCGGGGCGGAAAAGCTGGCCGAAGGGGCCGGCGCGAACAGCATCCATGGTACCGGGCTCCAAGTCGACGAGGACGGCGCGAGGGACATACTTGTTGCCGGAAGCCTGGGTACGTGACAAGGTCAGTATTCATCAATAGGTTTGTCTGCTTCCTGGGGGGGGCTAGGATAACAAACTTCGTTGAAGTAGACGCTCATGCGCTCGAGCTGGAGCTCAGAGGTGCCATTGTAACTGTTGAGAAATTAGCGGTGAACTCGAGGAAGTGGCCAGATCTGGAGGTTGGCAACATACACGCCATTGCTGTCGAGGCCGTGCTCGCCAGAGATGTTTTGCCTGTGCCCGTATTAATATCCAATGTCTTTTCGAGGCCAATCTCGCCGAAGTCGATGATGTCGGTCTGGCTACGCACCAAAAGGCAGCACCAATCTGGTTACCCTATTCAAAGAAGTTAGCCCCGCACCTTGGATTGTTGGTTGGGATCAGAGAAGACTTACGCACTGGCCGGTCTGGAGGTGAACCTATCGAGTATAACAATCAATGGTCAGCGATATATCCCCAAGGTGCATACTGTCGGTGATGGCAATCGTGGTCGTCTTCGGTGAGGACCAGTGTTGGGTGGAAATGTCGGCGGGGTACGTTCAGGGGCAAGGCCGACGATTCGTCGCCAAACGCGTCGGTCGCAGGTTTATTTGTTACGAATGATTGAGGGGAAGGACTTACAATCTCACGCATTGTGAATGGAGAAAAGCTCTTGAGCTGACTAGGCCGACGATGAGCAAAGGAGAGGACGAGTGGGAGGTGCTTGAGAGCTGCGCGAAGCTTCCAAGGTGGACGTGGTTGGAAAGTGGATGAGATTAAGGTGTGGTTAGGTAGGGGAAAGGTTGTTGATTTTTGTTTGCGGGTAAACGTGATTTCGCTCACCGCCACAGGCCAGGTGCCCAGAGACAGGCCAGAGAGGAAAAGGGTGCAGCTCGCTTGTTTACTATTGGGATCCGTGCACGATCCTGATTGGGGAAAGACCATTCCCAGGCACTATTTGATGGTGGGGTCGCAACAAGTCGAGGACTCAGATCGGCGTTGATTGGCAGGCACGACGTGTTACCTGGGCACGTACCTGCCTACCCAATAATCCCTATTCTGCTCCTCTGTTCTCTCCGATCCAAGACCCGGGATGACCGACTGCACTGAAGCTTCCAAGCATTTAATAGCACGACACCCCTAGATGACCATAATCTATGTATTACAAGGCATTACACTTTGGCGCTCCAAAGCAGTCAGCGAGGGGAGGCCCCGACGACAAGAGGTAGCCAGCCGTCTGTGCAATACCGGTACTTATGTCAAGGAGACGCACCGTCGCTAGCCCCCAGTGTCAACCCACCAAGCGTCCGCCAATTGAGTTATCCGGCTTTGTCTCCAAGCAATGGTCGACAGCGCTAAATTACAAAGTGGAACCAAGTGTGCAGGGGTTCCATTGCTGCCAAATTGAGCCGACGGTGTGCCTGAGAGCCATCAAACTGGGCTGGTACGCTGGGCAGGACACAAGCATTCGTGTAGTTCGACTTCCTCAAGGAGGCGCTTTGTGACTGACAACTCAGGCATCCCGATTCTCGCATAAAATAAAATAAGAGAATGGTTTGGCATCTACGGAGAAACTATCTTCCCAAGCACGAGTATCATTCCCCCTTAGTGAGCCTTGACAACACCAGCCGCATCGGCCTGAGATGCGATTCTCTTCTTGTAGGCTTGAACATCGCCAGGGAACTTCTCGACCGTGCCTCCATCGCACACCCAGAGAGAAGTGCACACTGTCTGCAGCATGGTGACATCGTGAGAAACCATGAGGACACCGCCCTGGAATTCCTTCAGAGCAGAAGCGAGCGCGTCCATGGCCTCAATATCGAGATGGTTAGAAGGCTCGTCGAGAACCAAAATATGCGGGTTGGTAAGAGCAAGACAGGCAAAGGCGACACGAGACTTTTGACCACCAGAAAGCACCGCCATCTTCTGCAGACCAGTTGTACCCGTGATGCCAAAGGCACCCAGTTGTCTACGGTACTCCTCGTCGGTCCTACCCGGGTATTCCTTGGCCATGAACCCAACGGCGCTCATGGTCAGGTCTAATGCATCAACGTGATGCTGGGCAAAGAAACCAACGCGCAGGCGGGGGTTCTGCGAAATGAGACCAGACGTAGGGGACAGTTTTCCGATCAGCAGCTTGAGGACAGTTGTTTTACCCGCACCGTTGGGTCCGACGATGCCGATTCGAGAATCTAGCTGCACGTCAAGATCAACGTTGCGCAACAAGATCTTGTCCTTGCTGTACCCAAACGTCACGCCAGTCATCTGAATGATTGGGGGCGTCATCTTCTCAACGTCGGGGAACTTGAAGTGCACGCTGTACTCGGTCTCGGGCGGCTCCAGTACCGGCATTTTCTCGAGTTTCTTGATGCGCGACTGAGCTTCCGAAGACTTGGCTGCGTTGTATCTGAACTTGTCGATGAAAGCCTGGAGGTGGGCTCGCTGCGCCATCTGGTTCTCGTACTCTCTCTTAGCCGTCTTCTTACGCTCCTCACGTGTAGCGTAGAAGGACTCGAAGTTGGCGCCGCGATAGTAGTCGAGGCGCTGAGAGTGCTGGTGAATAATGTCCGTCGCGATTTCGTTGAGGAAGGCTCTGTCGTGGGAAACAACCAATACGGTGCTGGGATATCCTTGTAGGTAGTTGGAAAGGAAGGCAATGGAGGGAACGTCCAACATGTTGGACGGTTCGTCAAGAAGCAGCAGATCGGGTTCGCAGAATAGTGCTCTCGCAAGAGCCAGACGCATACGCCAACCACCGGAGAAGGTCTTGGTGGGATATTGTTGGCGTTCGGCTGAGAAACCAAGACCAGCCAAAATACTTGCGGCTCTTGATTCGGCCTTGTCGGATTCCATCTCAGCCAGCTTGCCCTGGATGTCGCCGAGGCGGCTATCCTGGGCTTCTCTCTCTTTGTCGAGCCTGGCAGCGTCAGCTGAGGTATCAGCCAAGCCGGTCCGTTGACTCTCAATGTCTGCCAGCTTCTGGGTAATTTCCTAACGGATTGTCAACATACACGAGACCCAAGTGATTATGGTTCAAGGGTAACCTACAGCCTGCTCTTTGAGAAGAACCTTACGCCACACATCGGCATCGAGCACGGCTTGGATTGCAGGGGTATCATCTCCGGTAAGCTAGATGGGCGTCAGTCATGAAGTGGGACAAAAACTGAGTACTTTATCATCCTTACCTCCTGTTCGACGTGGAGAATGGTGATATGGGGTGGAATAGGCAATTCTCTGCGAGACAGAGCACGGAGAAGCGTAGATTTACCGACACCGTTATGACCAACAAGGCCGTATCTGTGACCGTAGGACAGGGTCAGGTCGGTATCGGTAACAATACGCTGACCACCGATGGACACGTCGATGTTGTCCAGTTTGATATCTTTGGTCTTGTTGGCACCAGAACCGCCGATTTGCAGCGGGTTGACCGCCATGTAGAACTCCTCGTATGATTGAGTAGACTCTGGCTCGTCGAGCAACCTGGAAGCCTCGTACTCGACCGTTTTGAAAGTCTTCTTCTGCTGCTTGGCAGCGATCTTGCGCTCGGCCTTCTCCAATTTCTTACGGTCAACCTTGGACTCGACCTTGCGAGCGTTTGCGGACTCGAGATCAACGGCTCCGGTGGAAACGGCCAAGGTGGAAGACATATTTCGTTGAGAGCTAACCTGGAAGGTCTCGTCGAGTCGCTTCACGGCAGAAGGGCCACTCCGCATACCACCGTTAGCTTCAGTATACTTCTCGACCCATTTCTCAACGAGCTTCTCAATCCTATCTTGGAGCTTGGCATCGGGCTTTCCAGAAGCAGAAAGAAGCAGCTCGGTAACAGTAGCAGCAGCCTCCGCAATGGGTGAAGGGCCGGACTGGTCCTCCTCATCGGAATAGATGGTCGATGCGTGGGTCAAGTACCCGACGGAGTACTCAGAGAGCACCGGGTCGATGTTGGGCAACACGGTTCTGATTTCAGCGTCCATTCTGACAGTGGTGTTAAGTGATTGGAAGGGCTAGCTTGGGGGACAGGATGCTTCACTCTGTGAACAAACGTTTCGGGTTGCGAAAGGTTTGGCAAGAACTGACTTCGTGTATTCCTCCCTTCGCCTGACTGGTTCACTTAGCTGGTGGCGATCTCATCGGTAGCCGTTTGCGATATTCAGAATGAGCCTCAAAGATGTGGGCCCCGATTGCCCTGCCCGGGCCGGCGGTCAATCCACGGATAAACCTCGGCTCGCGTCCACCACAGCATCCGTGAAGTGACCTGGAAAAAAAAAACAGCCAACACAAGATCTCGACCGATCGGAAGCAGTCTTGCATCACCGGCTTGATGGAATTGTTCTGAATCTTTCACCAAAAGGCGCATTCACACTCGGAGCAAGCCGCACGATAACATTCCTAAATCAGTCGCATCGAGTGTATTCTCTACACCAGGTGCACGTATACATCTGCCTACGGGTTCCTACCAGGGATAAGACGGACCCCATGTCTCTGAATAACCCGACCAGGTGGGTGACTGTCGGTGATTGCTATGACCGTGGAGTCGGTTGAGACAAACGGGCGGAATAGTACCGGTAATATTCCACGGTTGGGATGGAAGGCTCCATCGATCAGGTCTTGCCACTACCGTCACCGACATTTCCTGGACGAAACCTTATGAAACTTACAGTCTCGATCTGACAGGAGGCCAGCTGAGATGCACTTGCAAAGCCTAGCTTGACCCGTGTCAACGAATCAGAATGCGTATATTATCAGAAAGCTTCGGGCTGGGTCCCAAGTCGTATGTTGACCACCACGATTCAACGCACGACCTGCAGAGAGATGAGTGAACGTTTTCTATTTTGTTTCGCGCAGCTGCATGCAAACCGGCGCGAAGTGTAGCACGCGCGCGATGGCTTGCAAGGATTCGTGTGTTGCGTGGCAACCAACCAAAGGCCAGTTTTGCTCGAAAACGCACATTTCCGGCCTCTTAACGAGCCTCACAAGGGGGATGTCGATTTGAGCGATGCCGAAGAAGTTTTTAGCTCCATTCCGCGGCATGGTACGCTATGTGTTGGATATCCATCCAGGGAACCCCATCAGCAAGTAAAGAAAGCTGCTCCGATGTTGGATGCTTGGCTGCAACAGCCCAATCTGTATAAGCCCAGATGGCACCCATCTACGTATACTTCCATCTGCTAGGATGGGACTCGCGAGGACTAAATGGGCACCATCGCCGTAGTCAGTGTCTTGGATTGAAATGAAGTATGGGATTCGAGCGGCAAAAGAAACAAAAGCAGAAGTCTTGCAATTTACAGCATTGCTGCGGCTACATCGCAACATCCGGCATCGTCGACTGCAGGGAGCAGCTTGGCACATCTTTCTGGAGCGGACTCCACGTCATCTTTTTCAAGTCATCGTTTGGTCATTGTCTCCTCACTCCAGCGGAACCAACACACATGAGGTCTAATGTGGGAACGCCCCCTCCCCCCGGTCTTTATCGAAGCAGACGCCGCACTCTCGGAAGCTACTCGTGCTACTTCCTAGCCTTCCTGCTCTATCGATACCACCATAAAATGAACCTTGTTCCCGCTCAGAGTTGCATGCCGGGCATACGGTGCAACCATCGCATAAGCGGTTCCTGAAGGGAAACCTTGTTACGGATGTGAAGGAGTTACAGGAGACAA